AAGGTGAAAATAAATTAAATGAAATGAAAAGAAGCTCCTTCCACGAAGCCCTCCACTCTTTCCACTTTAGCAGAGTGAAGGCTGCTCAGAAGGCGAGTTGCATAGTCAATCAAGGCGCATTTAAAAGGCTGGGCGTATTTTCGGTTCTTGAATATAAAATGCATAGTACCCTCGCACATGACCGCGGGAGTTTTTTCTGGAAAGTAACCGTCTTATAAACAGCTAAATGCAAATTTGTCTTATTCTTCCATTTACTTTACGCGAAACTGGTTCATTTGTTTTCATTTATTTGTTTAAAGCTTTCTTGAAATAATTCACGAAGTGGTTTGGTGGCGCCCTCTCGTGCGTTTAACATAAAAAAAAACGGTAAAAAAAAAAAAAAAAAGAGCACTCGAGCCAAGATTTGGTATGAGCGAATGTTTGTCAGAAGTTTGGACACGTGCTGGGAAGTTAATGTATTAAAGTACTTCTCACTGCCTCAAGTAGGTTTTGATTACTTGCACTTTACTGAAATGAGTACATTCCTCAAACGCGATCTTGTACTTTGCATAAATTTTTTTTTTGTACTTTCTGGGGAAACTGCGATTCCCGACGGAGCGTCGGAAGTGGTCGGCAGATGGAAGAGAAAGAACGGTCGAAAAGTACAAAAAGGTTTTTCCCCCTTCCCTCGCACTGGGGAAGGCGACCGCCTTCTGTTTTCACGTCGCTGACTCCCGATCTCAGACTTCGAAATACATTCTCCAAATTCGTTTTTTTAGAAATTTGTATGACAAAACAATGCTCGATAAACTCTCAAGAGATACTGGTAGATATATTGAAATATCACCAGACGCGCGAGCTGAGAACACATTGCTCAGTTTGTATACAGAGGCAACTTCCACATGTACCAAATTGGTAGAAATTCCCCAAGCTCCTGAACTGGCGACCTCATGAGCGAGCTCCTAAGAAATTTGCTCTTTCAAGAATCGGGTGCTCGCATCCCTTGACTTTTCCAGTGCGGTCCACCGACTGGTGGAATAAAATATAAATATGCACAAACATAAAAACAAAAACAAAAAAGCGGATTGTCGCTTTTTGCAAATTTGCTATTGTCTTTCGAGACATCATCCGGTCGTTTCTCTGAGAGAAGTGGTGTACAAATAAGTGCCTTATGACTTTGTGTTGAGTAATTCGTCATGTGAGATAAAAAGAAAGAAAACTACTTTGTGGCCATTTGATTATATTCCCTACTCGTCGTCATTGCCGAAACTAATTTATGTATGTACCCCCGATCAGAGGCGGTACCTCCGATTACGTACTCGTACTTGACTACCCCTCGGGCTACGCATACTACAGTCTGAAAAACACTGTATAGGAGAAGGAAACATCACCATGAAATATCGCGTTAAAAAGTACCGGTGTTTTATACTTTGAAGATACTACCTTTTGTTTATAGTATTATTACTTACTACTTCACTTGGGACATATAACCTCCCAATTACATTGCATTTCACTTCAAGGGTCTTTTGTTTTGTTTTTCTTCTGTTCACTTTATCCAAGATTGGAATGAACAGAGCTGGAGCCAACCGACAGACCGACACGAGAAAGAGCGATGCCTCCCTCAGGAGCATTGTCGCCGCAACAGCCGGCAACGGTGATACGCTTCCTGTTGTTTTCAAGTCGAGCTTGTTCGTCGCGTAGCTTGTTTTCCAACGGCACGAGCTGCCAAAGGTTCAATGGCAGCGACTTGTGGTTTCAAGAGCGGCCATGAAGCACCTTTTACGGGGAGTATATTACGCGGAGGTATTTATTTCGCTATGTCGTAAAGCTACCCAAGATTAGGGCCAAAAGAACTGGGAAAACTCCGAACATAAAAGGCAAACACACAGTAAGGAGAGCGTCTCAAACTATATGCTACTACGTCTATTTCACCCACTCCTTACATATCCGCGCAATCCTGCTGACTAGAGTGCCTTCATGTGCGCTTCGCATAGAGTGATGCCAACTGCCTGTTTCCCTTTCCCACACCCTCTTCCACCGCCATTTTGTTTCTCTCATTGTTTCCCCGTGCGCCGGAAAGTGGCCTTTGTGTCCATCGGTAATCCCATCCGAGGGGGAAAATGCTAATCCTCCCTCCGTGGGTTCCACAACGCTGCTCCGAACTTCTGAGATAAGGTGCTTGTTTCCGGGAGGGTTATAAGCCCCACGGATTATCGCCGAGGAACAAAATGGCTGCTGGTTTGTCGGCGAGTGGTATTACAAAGGGTGGCATCACCCTAGCAAAGCGCACATGAAGGCTCCCTACTGCTGACGCCCATGCCACAATCTTAGCGCTATAAACTCCGTTCCACCTTCAGTCCGAGCGCAGTGGACGCCACGAGCTATCCCAGGCGATCCAGCGCCGGGAGAAAATCGCGTGACCTGCCGGTTGAGCAGAGCGGCACAGGATGCTCAAGGTTACATGACACTCTCTCCACGCCGGATTGGCTGGGATAGCTCCAAGCGTCCACTGCGCTCGGACTGAAGGTGAAACGGAGTATAGCCACATCCGTCAAAGAAAATAACCTTTTATACACATTTTCAAAAAATGAACTCTAAGTACTATTATCGCGAAACGGCGCCGTGTTGTTTGCAGACCGGTGGCGTCGCTGCGTTTCCATAGGAGCTAAGCCTTTTTCTTTCTTTACTTTTTCCTCAGGTAAGTTCGCTCTTCGCAAATTTCATTAAAAAAAAAAAAAATGCACCATTTGTGGGCAACGCTGCACAAAGTCGTAGCGCGATAGGTTAAGAAATCGAATTTTCCGGTCGATTTAAAGAGCCTGGCGTCTCCTTGTTTCACCCTGTAGATATGTTTCATCGTATGATTATTGTCGAGCCCTGTTTAGATCCGTATATTCAATGGAATTCAAGTTTTTCTTACTGGCATTGAGGCGGATGCGGTTGTTTAAAAGCTACTTCGCAAATAATCAACCCCTCTAGCAATTTACAATGCAGTAATTTTCAGGTAAAAAAATAAAATAAAATAAATATTGTCGAAAATATTAGGATTTGTCGTTCACATCCAGCAACTTAACCACACAGACACACAAAAAAACTAACACTGAATTGCTTCCGTTTAAAATGTTCACTCCGTTCATGAATTTGTTTGACTAGAATTACAGCTAGATTCATAGAGTACCATGCCCGGGCCAGTTTATACAAATTGTCCAATGTGTCGACTTGTAGCACAGGTGACCCTTTTGCTAACATGTCGAGTGGCATCATTAATCACACACGAATTGAGTTATGTAGCAACCGAAAAGGTACCTGCAAAATTCCCATTCTAATTTCGCTTCCCTTAAAGGACATGCCTCGCAAATCGACAACTGCCACGAAAATCTAGAGCCCTCATTCTTGTAATTGTTCCAAATTATTGGAAGCGTTTTAACTTCTAACTACCTCTGGTAATTAATTACTGGTGCGAACAGTGAAGGAAGTGACATGGGCTAGAAAGAAATTTCGTTGGCTGAAGCAGTCTTTATCGGGATCAAACTACTTCGTAAACGCTCTTCTAATAACTGAACCCTCGTTTCGCAAACAAACACAGACTGACACATTTAAAGCATAGGAGAAACTGTGTGCGATTCTAAGACATCGACCACTGTCGTTCGGGCACATTTGCATTTAAAGAATTTATAATAAGAATCGAGAAGATGTTTTCTTTTTGTATCTACACGCTGTCTTTTTGAATGGGGAAAATGTTCTGCATCAGATTTAGTACTAATCTTGTTCTTTTTAAATGCAGTAATTTAAACCTCGGCGGCCTTTTTTTTTTTTTTTTTTTTTTTTTTTTTTTTTTTTTTTTTTTTTGCGACTGAACGTTAAAAAGTAAGAGGTTATGCCTCAGAGGTTGGTGAAACCATTGCAGTATTCGTAACAGTCGCTGGAAGGAAGAGTGTTCAGTTGCACTGGCAGACCAGATATCGACTCTAGAGCACATCCTTGCAGTCAGTACAAATCAAAATCTGTTGAGGGGCGTCTTAACAGGCGGCTCCTTGAAACGCCTCTTTGTTGGTGGCTATAGAGACGGTGTCCGGAAGATTTACGGGCAGCTTTTCGCTTGTTCCAAACTTATCGTTCTGGAATAAACTCCATATGGAGTTTCGCGAAAAGGTTTATAACAACATGCATGAACCATCTGCGTTGCTTGCTTAACGCTTGCTTAACTTCCTGCCCTCAATTGTCCGTTAAACACGCTAAGGGGGCCCCTGTACAAAAGAAAGCTCCATAACCGTCCTTCCATCTAACAAGGAGCTTGGGAGGTCGCGTTAAATTTTGTTGTTCTGGCACGCTCTTGTACAACGAGCTCACAAACGCCACCTGATCTAGAGACGGGAACATTATGGCATGCTTGTTTCCTTGTTGAGGAAAAGAGAACGAGAAGGCCATTGCGCCAGAGGCCCTTCGAAGTGTTTTTTCTGCTTTGTGTCTAAGCTTTCATAAAAAAAAAAGACTAATATTTTTAAATTTGTAGGGGCCAGCGTGGAGCCCCCTGTCAGACTGGGGCCCAGGGCTGCAGCCCCCTTAGCCCGTACCTTAATCCGGCCCTGCCCGTACCCTCCCCTCCTCCTCCTCAAGAGCTGCGCTCTAATTCGGCATTACAGGAAGTCGTAAACGTTTTTCACTTCTTTCTTCCCTCCCCTTTTTCCTCTTGTCCCCCCCCCCCCCCCCCCCCCCCTCTTTCTCCCCCCGGGAAAATGAAGTTTGCGCCGCTGACTCAAAACATCGCAGTAGGGCAGTAGGCCCAAATAATCCGTAAAGTGCTGAGATTGTATTAATTTTTTTTAAAGAATTCGGTAAAAATAAACGAATTGTTTAAAAATAAACTAGCAGAAACTGAAAAATAATATGCGTGCCATGCTATCTGCCCTGCACGAAACAAGCCGGTCGTCCACGAAACACCATTTCGCCAAATTTAGCCACCGTCTCAAAACCGAAACTAAAACTTACGGATGCGTTTGGGCAATCGGCAGTGCCGTAGCCAGCAACAAGCCAGATTTCCCATCTCTGTAATGGAGTGTCATTCGTAGAGTTTCCCACAAAAAGTTTTCTGGCCATTCCGGCGAAGATATCGCCATGTCGAAGCGTCACCAAGCTTTTGATCACGGCTCATCGAGTACCAGCGCGGAGTAACGTTGTGATGGGTCTCCACGTCCTGCCCGGCACCTAGATGGGATCCCAGACGTTGGAGATACTCCGTCAAGGGGTCTGGGCTTCGTTCACGGGAGGATGGTTCTACGACCCGAGGCAGGATCACGAGTCAAACATCCTGCACCTTTATCTCTGGCTTTTCCTACTATGCTTGCCGTTCTCATTGTACATGGTAAGACTTGCTTGTTTACGGGTTTTGCAAGCGTACGTTACACTTGAGTCGTTTCGGTTGCCTTGAGTCATGCTGACGCCGATAAGAGTTCACTTCCTATCGTCGATTTGCAAGCATGAAAACCTCTCGTAGTCACCCGAGTGATTCCATAAGAAGCACAAATATCCCATCAAATAAGAATGGATTTGCCTGGACCGAGTTGAAGCCTACCTCCGTAGGTAGGCGAGTTTACGGACGATTTGCAGATTACCACTCTGCGAGCAATGGAGCTTTATTTGCTTAGTTTCAATAAATTTCGTAAGTCGCCCTGCGTACCTTTTTTTTCCTGTTAGTTAATCTGGTGGAAGGTCTATGGGAGCGTCCCCAGCGGTGTGTTTCCGTCTCTCAACTGTCGTTAACGTTAATTGCCAACATGGCTTATCAACTTTCATTCGAACTTCAAAAACCGTGTGATTTCCTTTTCTTAAAGGCCCACCTTTCTTTAAAACAATTTTATTACTCTTTCTTTACTGAAAGTTTTCTCCATCAGTAGCCACCATCAACTGTAATTGTCATCAACAATCTATTACTGCCAATCACCAAAAAAAAAAAAAAAAAAAGTTGAATTTCTTCATTACTGGCACATTTTCACTGACGGCAGGTAGATAGATAGTTTGCGGGGGTCTTCATTTCGCAGAGTCGATGATTATTTCTACTGACCATTTATGCTAATTGTAATGTCTTTTAAACTTTCACAATTTCTTTAACTGTTGATCAATTAAAATATATTTTGTTTGCTTCAGTATGGCATCTTATTTTTGTACCGTCAAACTCTTAATCATCATCATCATCATACTTATTGCTTGCCTCAAAGTACCACTCCTACAGTGTAAAACTAGCGGTAAAACGAACGTTTTGGGGGGTAGACCATCGGCATAGCAGACGAGCCCAATGTCAGTGCAGGCCATGTTCGTTGTTTGCATCCAGATGATCCAATAACCACCTTCTGTATGCTGCCATTGTTGTCTAGTGGGCCTTGGGACGAGTTCTGAGCATGTGCAATAGCGCTCCTCCACGAAATATCGGGCGTTGTGCATCTGTCCACAGCCCAGTGACTTCACATTTCTCTTTAGGGTAATAAGCACTGGAAAGGTATATGCTATACTCTGTTTCACGAGAACTTGGCGATCTGTAAAGGCTGCAGGCCCCGCAACCCAATAAGGGCGTCGGAACAAGGCACGTGATAACACTCCACGGTCAAGGCCCCAGAGGCCTCGTTACCGCCACAGCAACAGCGCTGTCTGTGACAAAAAGGGGTTCGAGACTTCTTTCTTTTTTTAACGACAATTGAACTCGCGCAATTGCATTTCAATCGACTCCATGCTACACGACACAGAAGAAAGACGAAGACATGTTACTTTATGAAGACATGTTACCTTTCCCAAGAACCATGTGGCTTTTGAACAATGCTTAATTGATCGCAGCCCTGTAATCAACCGCTTCCGCCGAAAACGTCGCCCTGGCATTAGCACCCGCCACAAATTTGTGGCTAAATTGAGCATATGGTTGCCTCATGAACTATTCCCAAAGAACTCTCAACTCTAGCAGACGGCAATGTTGCGGCGGTGGACGTTCGTCCGAAGTTGGCTGGTTTTGCAGCGGACGACTTTTGGTCAGCGGACGATAGATGGATCATCCGGGCCTGCGTTTGGCGCAGTGTTACAAACGCTCCCGTGACGTGGGATCACGTGCCCTGCTGCGATGCTACTATCGGGTCGCGATGGCCGTAGCCTCCACAGTTTGCCACGTTATCATGAAATGGAGAATAGAGGTATGCTTAGAGTATCGGCACTTCACTCCCTGGTTATCCTGTGGGCTCCGGCATTTAGGTGCTTAGTGCAAAGTGGACACAATATGGGAGCATTACGATTAAAAAATGCCACTACCTGAGCTTGAGATATGGCGTCAAGAAGCTTGGGCAATGTCGGCTTCCTCTGCCGCGCACCATAGTAACATCTTGGGGGCTATGGAAAACCCTTTCCTGAGATTTCAGATAGCTGGAAATAATTTTAAGCGCCGAAAAACCCGAAGTGTGGTTGCTTCAAAGCATAGCTAATTTCGTGGCTCTAGCGCATACAAGCGCTTGTAGGTGTTTCTTTTTTTTTTTTTTTTTAAATGAAGCTGGAACGCTTTTTAAGAAATCTGAGTTTGTCCAGTGAACTTGGCTGCCGCAGTTAACTTGGGCAGAAGCAGTGTCGCCGGAAGTATATTTTGAGGGGGGGGGGGGGGGGGGGGCCAAGTTCTTTTTGTCGTTCTTTTATTGTTGATATACTAAATTTTTTTTTTTGCAGGTATTACAATCTGAGTTTCGTTTACTATCCTTGCTGGTTCCTTTCTCTCTTTCACTACTGCGTGTGATGAGCGCCAGGCGCCTGGTGTGACGTGATGAGTGCCTGGCGTCTTCCTTCCAAGCGTTATAGAGCTGGGGTACACAACTCAAAAATGACGTGGGCCAAAAAAGTGTTTATTAGGAACTGCGCGGGTTTTCAATATCTGGCATCATCGCACTGGTTGCCCTCTTCACTACATTTCGCAGCGTCATTCCACAAGCCGCACAGAAAGTGGCCGGGGGTCGCACGCGGCTTATGGGCCGCATATTGTGCACCCCTGTTATAGATGGTCTGAGCCCCCTCATAAGAATACTTGGGGGAGGCTTTGGCCCCTTCCGGTTCCGGCGTCCCTGGGCAGAAGTAAACACTAAGCCCCTTTAAATCGTGAAATGCAAGCAGCGATTGCCGCAGGCCGTGCGGCAACCCTCCCTACGGCCTGTTATCTCTCCAAGACATTGTGACGTCATCGTCGGGATCCTTGTGCCAGCTTAGTGGCGAGCAAGGGTCATCTGACTTCGCCGATGACGTCACTTTTGCTAGTTTTTCTCTCCACTTTCGCGCCCTTCTGCGTTTGGCACGCCGCAATGGGCGAGGCTTTGTCGAAACTTTAGTTGGCGATTACGACGCTCCTAGAAATGAAATCAAAAGAACATTTAAGAAACACCCAAGCAGCACAAATTTTGGCAAATCATTGGCCAATGGCTGGCAATGGTCTTTTGACCAATGGCCAAAGAGTGGCCATTCCAATCGTCGGCCAGTGCTAGGCTGATAGCTGATAGCCAGCGGCCAGAGGGAGGCAGTCATCGGCCAATGGCTGGCCACTGTCTGGTTTAGTGTTGGCCAATGATTGACCAAATCTGTGCGGTTTGGGTAACCTTTAACGTGCCTAAATTGAAATTCTCACGGTTTTGTTTCGAATTGAATGACCTGTTTAGCTTATTTTTAACAGGCCTGTAGTTAAATGATGTACGACGTCCTTGTGCAGTTCCTGCAGCCCGTGCTGGTGGTGTGGGTCAGCTATGCGGGCATTGTGGGTGCCCTGTTCACCACTCTCAAGATGGTCAATGTGCGGCTGCACCGCATGTTCGACAGCGGGGAGTGCATCGAGGAGTCGAGCGACGATTCCAACCGCTCCGTGTCCGTCGACCACAACACGCTGGGGTCGCAGGGTCACGGCTCCAAGAAGTAAGTTGTTCTTCTCTAAAGGGAGCCTGCAATAATTTTCAATATTATGTTAATCTGTGCAATATAATTAGGGCTACATGTTTTTGGGGTTTGTTTTTCCTCACAGATTCAACATTTTTCAATGGCTACTTTCAGTGTCGGACATAAAATCGGTGTTTATCGGGGCTCATGTAGAAGAAGACGGAACACAGCCGGGAATTCTTCAACCTCCAGGGGAGTAGAGGAACTTCCATTCCCCTGGAGGTTCCTCAATCACCACTCCCCTGGAGGTTCCTGAATTCCTCTCGTGGCAGCCATCTTCCGATAGACGAGCAGACAACAGAGTGCGTTGTCTGCTCGCTGGCTGTTCGACTTTAGCAAGTTTGTTGCTCTGATTTTTTTTACTGGAAGAGAACTACACTTCGAAAATTCACGAAGTAAAACTGACCTGCTCGATGTACAATCGCTGAAAGTTTGAACTTTCTATGTTCAGGCAGCTATTTTTTTGGCTCGTTCTACAGCGTCGGATCCGCTGGAACCACCCTCTACGTTCCCTGCAACACATCTGAAACGCCTCTTCCCTCTTTGATGGTTGCAGGGAGGCGGAGCACATTGAGATGGCAGTGCTGAAGCAGCGTCAGGAGGGGGAAACGCCGCCCGTGCAGTGCAGTTCCCGCAACTCCTTCAACGAGGGGCCCGTGAAGCTGACCAGCATTGCACCGGCAGAGTCTCTGGAACTCATCGAGCGACTGGTGCGCTCCAACGAGTTCGACCTCAAGGCCTCCGACGGCAGCACCTGTGGCATCGGTGAGGAAACTTTTGGAGATTTCAGCGTGTCATCAAGTACCCCCGATTGAGCATTTTCCTTAAATATGGGTGGGAACCTTGTGGACCTTTTTTTTTTTGCAGACCTCCAAGTGGACGTGCACCACCGGAACAGTTCAGGCAGTTCGGGCGGATCCACGTCCGCCAAGCAAGACCACAGCTTCCACGGCACATCCGGCGGTGCTCCCCGAAGTCCCGAGTTTGGGCTTGTGGCCGAAGTCCTTCAAGAGGGTGAACACTGTAATACTTGTGCTAGTCTCCAGTAACAGTCATGATCCATTGGCATCATAATCACCGGCTCATTGTCGCCACAGTTAACTCTGTCATCACCTTGATCCCTCAACACCATCATCCTCATCTCATCCTTTGCTCTTTTCGCTGTGCACCCAAACCAAACATATTATTTTGCTCGATTTTAAGAAGGATTCTGGGTTTTCACAGTTTAGTGTTTCAAGGAACATTTCTGTAGATATTTTTTTTGCAAGTTAGGAGTTTACTAAAGTTTCGTCCTGTTAAATTCCCACTTCCCAAGGAAGGGGCACTCAACAAAGTTCTGTGTTGTTGTATTCACAATTCTCGAAATTTTGTAATAGAAAGATATAATAGCCAAAATCAGACATATAAAACTAGTATAAAAAGGGACGTTAATTATGATAAATACTTCAAAGAAACTTGTGGAAAATAGCTTCCACCTTTATAAACACACTGCCACCTCCTCCCCCTAAGAGGCCCAAATGATATGGTGTAAACTCAAAACTGGATCAGTGGCTAACGCAATCACATATTTAGATTGACTTCTATCAAGTCCCAGAAATACAGACATATCGACCTGTTTTGTTGAGCGGACAACGAGGATAAACCTTCTTTGTCAACAGCGCAAGGTTAAAAAGAAAGCTGTTGAGTTCTCTTCTTAAGACCACCGAATTGAGGCTAATGTGAATTGTCCCGGGTATTTTTGTCCGGATAGTTTGAAGTTTTTAGGATAAATCCCTTAAAAAAATTGACCATTGAGCAATTTCCGGATTTTTTCGGTTAAAAGGGCTAGGACACAAAATTTAAATGGATAGATTACTCTTTAAATGGAATGCTCATAGGCTACTTTGCATATATACCAAGTTTCGTGATCTTTAGAGCTCTAGTAATTGCATATAGCAATTTACGAATTTTTATCATTTTCATCTGGCGACCAGGCAACACTGCCCAAGTTAATCACACCATGGTGCTCATAAACCACATGATCATGAACACTCTCTCAATCTAGGCACCCCCATGGTCGCCCAAGCTCGCCTTGCCGCAATACAATCAAAACTGCTTGCGCAACTTGGCAACCCCAATACTATTCTCGCTCTCGCACCCCAACCCTCTAACCGTCCACCCTGCATGCACCTGTGAGATTTCTCTGGATGACGGTGACCACGGCGAGCTCTTCCGTGACTCACTGTTGCTCGAGCTGGTCGCCAGCAGGTCGCATCCAAAAAGAAACAGCTTCCAACATCTCTCGATAACAATCACTCTCATCGCTGCAGCGATCAGTGTCGAAGACCTCAATGAAGTGAGCGATGCCGTAGAAAATAATCGTCACAGAGCGCATGCTTGAAATGCGGAAGATAAACAAGGAAGTTGAAGCTTAAGACGCCAAGAAATTGAAGTCTGTGACCCTTAAGCCATGGCGGCCTTTTCGAATGGGATCCGAAGGTCCCGCGTCTAAAATGATTGATCGACGAAACTATCGTGCCACTTTCGAAACAAATTTTGCAGGATTATAAGAACATACAATAGGTCCTAGCAGTACATTTGTCTCATATTTTATTTTTGGCGTGTCCTGCCCCCTTTAAATCCCAAAACCCAAAACCCTGTTTACTATGAGGTAATGGGCGCAAGTGCACTTCAGGCGAGGTTGACGATTCATGAATGTACCTCTGGGATTCTAAGCTCGACAGTGGGATGCAGCCTGCAATCCCTAAAGGTCAGCGCCTCGCGTGACGCGATTGAAAACGCCGTTAAAGTTGTGACGTTTGCTTCGGAGTATTTCTGGGTGATCAAGCTCAGAAATCATAGAAACTTGTAGACTTTTTCAGAGTGCAAAGCTGCATGTAAAGATTAATGGGGCACAGACATTTTTCAGATTTAGGAGTATAAGCGGAATAAATGTTCCACGTTGTGTACCGTGAAGATACATGTCACATAAAAGACTAAGTTTTTTCTTTTCTCTTGGCAGTGTCCGACCTCAAGTCGGGCTGCCTCCCGATCACCGCTCTCGCCGCAAGCTCGGGTGGCAGGGAGGACCATCATGGGACAGTGCAGAACAACGGTGAGTGTCTGTTTCCTGTAGCCCTGGAATTGATGTAAAGAAAAATCAACGTTCGTCTGAATCTTTGTTTGTTTTATTCGATGCTATTGCTCTGCTTTTCTTCTAAAAACATTTCTGTGGCCCAAAGAATGTCTATACTGTGAATTGTGAATTTTTATACTAAGAAAAACGGATGATAAAAGTATCAATAAAGAAACTGCTTCGCCAGCCAAAATCTTTCTCTGAAATCCACATGCCACACAGAATAAAGGTTGGTAGGATATTAGTCTCTGTCAAAAGGCCTATTTAGGGGTGCATACCATCTGGGGTAATAAGGTGGTTAACTCATTCTTACAGCGGAGCTGTTAGGCGCTAGTTTCCCCAGTTTCGTGTCCGTCACCAAATAAATGTTGACACAAAACTCTGGACAGCTATCGCCACCTTTGAGTGATGGCGGCAACCAGACAACCGGCTTGCCAGTTGTCTGGCAAGCCAGTTGTTGGCTTGCCGTCGCTCATAGTTTGTTGCAGCCTTTCCAGCCTTTCCACTCTGGTTTTCACCAGAGTGGAAAGGCTGAATTTCTCTAGGCGTCGTCCTAGAAGTCGTCCGCGAGGACAACGCCTAAAGGGCGACGTCCTCTAGATGTTGTCCTCAAGGTAATCCTAGAAGTCGTCCTTGAGGTCGTCCTAGACGCTATCCTTGAGGTCGTCCTTGAAGTCATTCTTGAGATCGTCCTAGATGTCATCCTCGAGATCGTTCTAGAAGTCATCCTTGAGGTCGGCCTAGGCATCCCCGAGGTTGTCCTAGAAGTCGTCCCTGAGGTCGTCCTAGATGTCGTCCCTGAGGTCGTCCTAGGCGTCCTTGAGGTCGTCCTAGACGTCATCCCTGAAGTCATCCTAGACGTAATCCCTGAACTCGTCCTAGAAGTCGTCCTTGGAGTCGTCCTAGACGTCGTCCTCTAGGCATCGTTTAAGAAGTCGTCCTTGAGGTCGTCCCACCATAATAGAGCTTCGCTGGTCTTCCTTCTTCACCAGAGTGGAAAGGCTGAAAGTTTTTTGGTAATTAACTTCTTTGACATAATTGAAAAGAACCGAGTGGAATCTTTTAAGACTGAACCCAGAAGTGTCAACTTTTTGATCAGCTTTGCTGCATATAAAAGCTGATGTAAAGTTGTTGCATTTCCTGTACCTTTGAAATCCTAGTTGATCTAGGCAAGTGCAGACTACGATGCAATCTAGAGAAAAATTGAGTAGTATCTTAACTGTCACGAATGGTTAATCCTGGCGTTTTTCTGCCATAGTAAAAATCGTACGAGGCCGAAAGAGGATATGATTGAGGTGGCGGTGAACCCAGCCAGTTCAGCCTGGGAAGGACATTTTGGAACACCATCTACTATATTTTATTTCACCTTACGATCGACTGTAACAAACACTACAAGCCATCCCAACCAATCCAATGCTACGGGAGTGTTCCGTGATATTGTGAGGTCCGCCGTGACATGAGGGGCATATTGTCACGTGACTTGTTCGCAGCGATGGATTGTTTAGGATGGCTCGTAGTGTCTGCCGTGGCTCATCGCAAGGTCAGACGGAGGATAGTACGGGCATAATTTTCCCCTGACCAAGGTGAAAGTCGTCCCCTAGTATACTGAAGCATAGCATAAGCCTCATTTGGTTTTCTGCATTGCAGGGGCCCTGAGGGACGTTGCATCTGGTTCCTCCATCTCGCTCCATCCCGAGGGTCACTTGCCGCCACACCGGCGACGCGGAGGCAGCAGCTTTCTTTCGTCGGGGTCTTCCGCGGCTTCTCTACGCAACGCCACGGGATCGGTGGAACTTGCGTTCCTTTCGCAGGTAAGCATTCCTATGCCATCTATTAATAATTTGCCTTCTTCTGAATTACTGCTTTGAGAGCGCCTGGTAAACCACGTACGCCACCAGCCTCGGGCAGTGAAGCTGGGTTCTGTTAACTTTGTTGAGTTGTGGTGACCTACCGTAAAATACCGAACAAGCGCCGACGCAAAAGTATAAACAAAGTCATAATCGCGAAAAACTTTCACATGAGCATTTGTTAGCTTTAGGAGCAGAAAAGCAGATGGGGCACATGATAGGGTATGCCCTCGTATGATCTGGCGGAATGGTATAGGAGCACTTTAGTGTTTTGTCAAAACCTTTAAGTATGAAAACGCCTCGGTTAGCTCAGTGGGTTGGAAGTTTGCCAGAGTGGGCACTTCTTGAGATGCGAGCGTATATGCAGTATTTTACGGTAGATTGAACTCTCGAAACCTCGCTTGCGACACACTAGGAAGTGCATAACAGAAAGCTGCTAGCTGCCTGTCATATTGCGCATTCTGCGTCAATTAAAAATTACCAATTGCCCGTCTGTACTAACACTGTTGCGCTATGTACAAGGATGAGGGATTCATTGTTGAACGCTAGGTTTATCGACGCCTCTCGTGCCGTCTTTGTTCCTCCGTCTCCCGTTCAGGATCCGAGCGTGCGTGCGGCCGAATTGGCGCGAGCAGCTCAGCAGCGCAAGAGCGGCACCAACCTCCGTTTGGAAGACGCCGACGCTAAGCGGGTGGTACGACGCGCCCACAGCGAGCTTGAAACCTGCCCTCCTGTGAGTGGAAATCCCACTCTTGTACCACAGCTCTGTCTTGCCCGAGAGTGCCTGAACTTGTATGGTCTTAAGGAAACGCCGGTACGGGTATCGAATGGTCATTTGAGCCACTTTCTTTTATCGAAATCAAATGGAATATAATGGGATTAAAAATAGAATGATTTCTAATACGGTAGCCAACCTTTTTTTTTTAGACAGAAATTTAGCGCGTGCTCATTTATTCTGAAGTTTCTGCGGGGTCGTCGAGACTGGTTCACGCATTTAAAGGGGATCGAGTGCGTTATAGCCACTTACGGCGAGAGGAAACACTGGCGCCATCTGTCGGGTGGTCATGGAACTCTTGCGATCTGCATATGTACATAGTGCGCGAGGTATTTGAGAATGCAACTTGAGGGTGCGTAACTTCCCGTTCTCTTACTATGTCTAGCTAGACGCTCGAGCTTGCCTTTGGCTGCATCTATGTCATATATCTAGCATATCAATTTTAAAACGGCAGCTTCCGGTCTGACACGAGGAATGAAGATGCACGCCGTCCCGCGTCCCGGTTGCTTCGGTCTTCACTGCGGCGGTTTGGATATGGCCATCTTCTCGAATGTGTTGAGGTCCTTTGTTTTCAATGTCGTAAAATGGCTTTTGGATTCTGATGGAGAAGTTGCATCTGACGCTGAGCGAAATAAACATTCCCGGCGGTCGGACTTCGTAGGGATGGCCGAGTTTGCCCAACAGGAGTGGGCATTGCGAACGATGACTTCAGCTAGTCGACGAGGGGCACTAGTCAAGCAGCTCGAGGTAGCAGACTCCACTATCGGGCTTGCGGTGCACGAGGCCCTTAGATATTTGTTGTGTTATGAGGAGACTACAGTTTATCTCCCAGGAAGCCCAGAAAAACCGTGTCATCTGGTCTAAGCGCTCGTCGAGCAAGCTCCGGCACCCTGACGAGCTAGACGTGCTTTGGTTTTCTTCCGACGAGAACTTTGACCCAGACCAAAAGTTTGACAGGAGGATTGATGGGTGACTCCGTGCGAGCCTCGATGAGCTCCCTATGGTTATTTGACAAAGTTTTCGTCCTCTGTCATGGTTCTAACCATTGTGAGCAGCGAGGATCACGTCATGCCTCCCCATTTCTTGCAATGAAGCCTTAGGGCCAATGGCCCACGCCACCCAAGATTGGCTGGCTGACAACCCCTACGATCCCAACATGCAGCCTCCTGAATCTCCAGAAAGGCAAATGTTGTGGGGGGAGGGGGGGGGGGACTGCTTTTGTCCCTAAGGTAAACTTTTTTAATGATAAAATTGATATACACCAGCCAATATTTTCGTTTTTGGTGACGTAGCAAATATTGGGTCAACATAATAGATCTGGCAACACTTTAGCCGTAATGTCGTGTCTCAATAGACCTCCCCCCTCTCCCCCACCGATTGAATGCCAACTTCTGCACCCCCCCCCCCCCAAGCTGACATAAGTCTGCCCCCGTCTGCAGATGTAAACCCTTTGGACCACTATGTCTGGGGCGTCGTCGAGAGATACCAACGAGCAGCCCCACAACACCAAAGAGTCGTTAAAGGCTGCCATTGTAGACATTATGGGCAACATCAACGAGGACCTCTCGATCGGGGCGTGCGGCCGTTTTCGAAGCCGCATCAATTCAGTCATTGCCACCGAAGGTGGTTTAATCGAATGAAATTCGAGAACATGAATAGAATCTGTACCAAATTTTCTGCAAATATATAAAATATTTACTTGAAACGTCAGTTTTTTTTCCTGGAATCTTTGTTATGCTTTCAAATACCTCGTGCACCCTGTATATTCTAATATTTTATTCATCATTCTTTACGGTGGGCTCGAAAAAGTTTGGTAATGTATAGGTGACTATTTCTCATAGATGGTGCAGAGGCCTGATCTCACAAATATACTGTGAAGCCTCGTTAGCTCATGCCTGAACCAGTCTTAGATGCACCTTTCTATCGGTCCCTATAATTTTGCTCGCTTCCACCAGCCGCAGATGCCAAGGTCGGTTGCACCGCCGTCTCACCCTGTGTCGCTGGAAGCGATTCGGATCACCAGCGCGGGTGGCTTGGCAGGTGCGGTGCCGGTGCCGCGCCACACGCGAAGGAGCGCCGAGTTCCTCCGACCTCCGCTGCTCGGCGACGCCATCAAGCCGATCGCCGAACAGCCGGCGGCCGAGACGCCGCCGGGCAGCAGCAGTAGCACCCAATCGCTGCTGGTCCGGCACCGATCGCTGGATGCGGCAACGTTGCGACGCCGACGGCAGTGCGGCGAGACGGGTGGCATTGCCGGGAATGACGATGGTGAGAGTTGGCCTGGCCGTTTGGGGTTGCCACCTTTAACGTGTGGAAGTGCCTGTTTCTAACTTCCTGAGGCATCCGATTCGGTTATTGAATGGACAGGAGGTTCTTTTTTACGGCGGAGCTCTTAAGGGCTAGGTTCCCTAGGATAGTGTCCGTGTATGTGGACACAAACCTACCTGGACAGCTACCGCCATCTATAAGTGACGGCGACAAGCACAGAACCAGTATGGTTTCCGCCGTTGCTCGTAGATGGCGGCAACCTTTCTAGCTACAGTCAAACCCGTTTATAACGAACAGCAGGAAACGCTACGATCAGTTTGATATAGCAAGTAGTTTGATATAGCAAAAACCATTTACAACAAACTTCCACGATGCATTCGTTGTAAAGCTAGAGCTTCTCTTTCTCTGTCATCTCTTCGCTTTTACCTTGTAACAAAATGCTGGAAAGCTTCTTTTTTTTTTTTGGCATGCTTGCAGAGTTTGTTTTTTTAGCTTATTTTCCCTTTTGAACCACTTCTCTTCATAGGCAACCGCTTTGCGATGAAGTTGTTTTTTTTCTGTGCGTGCGTGCAGTGTCTTTTTTTTTTTGTTTTTTCCCTTTCTGAATTGCTTCTCTTTGTTAATTTTGTTCGTGGCTTGAGCTTTTAGAATTTTCTTTAGATGATTGTTTGCACGTCTTTGGAAGCCTTCCCGGGGGGTAAAAAGTTTGATATAGCCAATATGTTGTTCGTTATAAAAAGTACTTTTTAAATGCATTTTTATTTAAATTTTCCGTGAGTTCGATATTGACAATAATTTGCTGTACGTGGGTTCGTTCTAAACGGGTTTCACTGTATTATAGAAGAATGGATAGTTGGGCACGTTGGTGAAAATTCATCGTAATAAACAGCGCGAAAAACAGATGGCGACGAAGAAGAAGCACACAGTGTATCAAGTACAGCTCCGCTGGTCTCTCTTCTTCTTGAGAGTGGAAAGGCTGAACGTTTTATTTCTCTGATTGCTCGACAGAATTCAACTCATAATTATTACATTCCAGTGGGCTTTCATCACATTGCACAAGACACACCCGTAAAAGTGTCCATCTCGGAATCGTTTCTTGATCCCACGAAGAAAGGCAATAAAGGGGCACTCCGGCCAGTTTTCGAACTACCCAAACAAATTGCATTTTCTGAATACCCATACTTCGTTCTTCATGGTATGAAGAACTTCATGGTCTCGAAATTCAAAAGAACTATTGAAAAAATTGTAAGTGAAGATAATGCCGAAACCAACATTCATATTGCCCCGCGCTCTCTAGTGGTGTGACGTCACAAATGGTAGACTTTCAGGTCGCTCAGGTAGTCTTCAATGGAGTATGTCGACAATGTTTTCTGTGCTTCTCTGTGAATGAGCTTCCAAGTGTTCTTCTTCCACCATCAAACATCTTGTAATCAGTTGGGAACATATTTTGCTGCCCACTTTGTACCATTTTTGTTGTCACACTTCAGTCTTGCGAGTAGAGGCTCTCAATTTGAAAAAACATCACGAGTGATTTCAAAAAATTCATTAACTTTTGATATTTTTTTTTTTCTCTCAATACTTGGTTTTTGGTACAGCCAATTTAAAGGCAAATCGGCGGCCATAAAAAAATTGCTGTGAAAAGCTCCATAAAAAAAAAACCACCTTTAGAAGCCGGACTTTGTAATCTGTGTTCCTGAAATAAAAGTTATACACTCGCACAACAATGCACGCTCTCTTTTAGAGAGGGCGCATCTAAATTTAAGCCCATTAGCCCATTCTAACCTTCGATGGGGTTGTGGCCTATTTGAAAAATGTGACAGGAATTTTGTAGCATTGAGCGTTTGGTAAAAAAACGGGCCTTAATACTACCAGATGATGGAAACAGTGCAGTCCCCGTTTGCTTCTCTCGTTTTTCACCTTGTCTCGTCTCGTGCTTATTTTTATTTTAGCACCCGACTCGTGATAAGAGGCAGACATAGTTTGCTCATGTAACATATTTCCAGCCGAGTTTGGGAAGCCCGAGGAGGAGCCATTTGGAGCGCCCCTGCTGCACTCCGGTGGCGAGAGTGGGGCGGCGGGTGACGCCCACTCCGACAGTCTGATGGCCTCCACGGACACGGTGTCCTCGACCTCGGGAGAGTCTGACCGGAGCAGCAGCACCCACTTCACGGTGATCTACAAGCCCCTGGACCCCTGCAGCGGGAACCCCCAGGTTGGTGGGGCCTCTTGAGTTTTTTTTTTTTTATTTTTCAAAAACCCTGAAATGGGAGCTGTCTTTTTTTGTGTGTGTGTGTGGTTTTAAAGGATGACGACAGAAATGGTACAACGTGGCCAGTAAACCACATTCCCAATTGATTACAAGACGTTAAATGGTGAGAAAACAATGCTTGGAAGCTTATTCACTGAGAGGCACGCGAAAAACGCTCGACATACTCGGGCAAACTCTTTGATAGTCACCGATCTCTCTCGAAATTGGTTCAACACATTCGTAGACACATCTGAACTATACTCGTTTTCACGTCAAGATATGATGGTTCTTAGTATGTTTTTGACATTTTTTGTATGGTATTGTTTTGTCTTGGATTTCTTGTTTGGCTGATTTTGCAGCATCCCCCTTCGTATGTAATACTTCTTGGGCCCTTATGGTTTCTGAAAGAAATAAATAAAAATAAACCTTATTAAAAGAAATCCGGAAACTCGCTGAGCATTACTAGTTTTTTTCTTTGTGTAGAAAATTAAGAGATATGTAGGTGGATTTTGGATTCCAGATACATTCTCTTATCAAGACGTACACGTTTCAAGCGCCGAAAACATTGCTTCTCCCTCCGACAACCAAATATTGTAAGAACTACTCCACGCAACGTATGAACAATGCACAAAACTTTCTTTTTTTTCTGACGTGAAAATGAGTATTGTAACTCAAATTGCAAGTCACAATAATGTTTTTTTTCTCAAGATTATAAAAGGCTCTACTGGCAACATTGAAAACATCGCATCAGATGTTCCAGTACAGGGCAATAAGGGAGAGACATTGCAGCTTGTTCCCCACAGGTTACATGTAGTTTGATGATGTGAAACAAATGCTCGTTAAGCTTACACTAGCAAAACAAAAAAACACGCACAAATATATATATATACATATTTTTTAGGCTGCTTGTTCGACTTACACGTCATACATCATATGACATCACCCCACTGCGAACCGTGGGAAAGTCTTAATGTTAGTTTTTGGCATCACCTTCGTTTCCGTTTTTTCGACATCTATTTTGAATTTAGTGATAACAAATAGCATTCCACAATGAGTAAGGCCCGGGTTTTTTGAAAAAGTACTTAGTGTGGATAGCTCAGAAACCACCGCAGCTCTCCTTCAAAGAGATGAGTCCAATGGAACGAAAATTTCGTCTCCCAATTTCCAGGAGCTTGATTTGCCGGAGCAGTACCCCGGCTGGCTGGAAGGCGGGAACCAACGGAATCCGGACCCACTCCCGTCGCCCGCCTGTTCCGAGCGGAGCAGCGTGGGCGGGCTCGACTGGCTCTTTGGAAATCCGTCGGGCAGGCCCGTAGGTGCGGCGTGCGACGCCAAGGCTCCACCCCCAATGGGTGAGTGCAAAGACCGGTTCGCAGATTCGCTGCAGAGCCGAATCAGTAACGTGATTAGCTTCAAATTCGGTGTTGATTCCTCGCCGTACATCCTCCTCTCGCCACTGACGTTTCCTCCGTGCAACTTGTAATGCCACGAGGTAACTTCTTACGGCAATATTTGTTTCATTGGGAGAAGCGTTACGAGTCCGTCCAAAAAAAGGCTCTCTGCTCGCCATGATTGGTGGTTTTCTTCTCTCCACTCGCCTCCTCTACAGCATTCACTCTGCTAAAGGGGAAAGAGGCTTTGCAAGAGGAGCTTTGTCTGCTTTTCTTAACCTGTAACCGACTACATCTATGAAGACCACCGGGTGAATAGTACAACCTAATTTCGTCGAAACATTTATTAAACTGGCCACTGAGGTCTGACGTACGCCAAGTCAATGAAATCTGCCGATTTGGCAAGCAGCTTGCTGTGCAGTGTTAGGAAATTTGGAAAAACTTGCCTCTTTCATCAGTTTTGTTCAATGTACGCACGAGGGTCCGTTCGCGTACCTGCGACTGATTACGACCGAGTGCCAAAACCTTTTGGGATTTTTTACGACGAGCAATTACACTGGCGACATCTGTCTGGTGGCCGCAGTACACTTTGCACTTCCATATAGTTTCTATTTTTTCGCGCATCGTTCTTCCGTTTGTGGCTCGAAAAACTTTTGAAAACGCTATAAACGACCATTTCTCGCAGATAATATGTACATCTGATCTCGCAAAGACTGTAAAACCTTCGCTTTGGTGAAGTGAAGTTCCAGGGTCACCTTATAGATGGCGCCGGTGTACCAGCGTGTTTCGTCGTCGTAATAGAGTGCAAGAACTCGGCTTTAAGCAACTGCAAGTGTGTGAGAGGGCATCAAGGTCTGCAGTCAGGGGGACGATATTTGGGCTGCATTCGTTTGCAAGGTAGATCACAGGACCCTTTCATTCCACATGAGCGCTTTGTGCCGGCACTTTTTGTCTCTCGGAACAGAGTTCTGCGGTGTGGAGGAGAAGAGGATGCCGTGCCGTTCACAGCCGTCGGAGCCGGCCGATCCGACGGCCGCCGGAAGCCTGGACTGTGGCCTGCCCTTTCAGCTGTCGGCTCTGGCACGGACCAGCGAGTCCTCAGACCAGAGCCTCTCGGACGCCAGCTCTCCCTCGTCGCCCGACGAGATGACGCCGCTTGGCGCCACATGTCGGCCTTCCGTGGCGCTCGGCGCAATCCCCAAGCAGTACTTGGAAGATGGGAACAGCAGCAGAGGTTGGTTGCATGGGCCCCACCCACTCAAGAATTGTGGGCTGACTGCGGACCTTTATGCGGAGACTCGCGTTGCACCCGCGCATATTAAACTCAATTGATCGATTGATTTGAATGACAGAAAGACAAAGAGGTCTGCCTGGACATTTGTCCTAGCTGGCTGCTCTTCAGTGGGTTTAGGAAAGAGTGAAAAGAAAGTTGCACTAGCTTGATCATGCTGACAAAGACCAAGGACTGCGCAATGTGTTCCCACACAAGCCACGCTCCGTGTGTCCTTTGGGCAGGATTTTTATTGTTTTATTATCTGTTATTTCTAGGGGTGTGTGAATATACGGAATTTCGAATACAATAAGAATATGTTCCTCGTTTGATATGTATTAGACTCGAGAATTGCATATTAAGAATTTCCTGCCGAATGTTTGAAAAGACGACGAATAATTCGGACAGAACTTTGAATATTCGGGTAAATTAGGAATAATACACATGCCTTGAACATTCTGAAGTATCTTGGGATGTTTATTCACTGAAGTCTTCTCGCGATGCTTTCATTATTTGTTCTGTGTCGGCTGTTTCCGTTTTGCGTAAAACTCTTATCTGCCCCACAAAACATCAATAGTTTTGTTGTTTTTCTTATCAAGCGAGTTGTGTATAACGTTTTTAGCAATATACATTATGTATTCTTTGCATAATGAATTTAGGCAAAACAATAAGCTTATCTCAATAATCTTTTCTCGAAGTATTTACAAATGTTTGGAAATCAAAAAAGAGAAAAAGCTACGCGAAGAACATGACATTGTCATAGACTCAAGTACTGGACAAGATGGCCACCACTTCTTTCTGTGCTTTGTTTGGCAATTTGTCAGCCATGCTAGCTGCTCTTAATGCGAGTCCTTGTTTGAACGTGTTCTCAGAGTGTGGCCACAGCCGCTGTTGATGAGCCACCAAGTAAGCGAGGAACGAAAGCCGGAAAACATTTTTCTCTGGCAGTACCACACAAAACCCTTGCCATTGACAGCTCGGTGCAAGTCGTGCGCAAGTGTTCTTCAAAACGTCGATTGGAACAACTACAATGTTTCAAAACCACCTACACAACACTCGGTCGATGAAAGAATATAAAAAGGACGCTGTGAACAGACCTCAGGGCAGTCGACCAACAGAATGATATGGTTCAATGGAGGAGGCAGCCCTTGTCGCAAAAGACGAGGGTTGTCGCCATTTCTTATTACTGAACACATATTTGATATTCAAAGCAAGCTTTTTACCATATTTATATTTGATTCATATTCAAAATTTTCAATATTCACACATCCCTGATTTTTTTCAATAATGTTTCTCCCATTTTTACATTAATATCGTATTTATTCGAATATAAGGCGAGCTTTTTTCCAAAATCCGTAGTCTCAAAGTCATACCCTGCCTTTTATTCGAAACTCAGTATAGCAAGCAATATGACGATTTTTTTTCTTTTTCTCGGGTCCTTCAACTGCCCCCTCGCCTTATAATCGTGACATCCTTATATTCGAATAAATACGGTAGTTTTTTTTTACTTTATCATATTTTTACAATTTTATGTTTATTTCTTGATAATTATTTAATTTTATTTCTTATTCATTTATGGACTTTATTTGTTATTTATATGTTTTTAATATATAAATATTTGTTTTATCATTTATTTATTATTATTTATCAACTATTTCCATCCAAATCCTGCCACTGTTGACGGTAATTTTGCATTGAAACGAAAACATTGACCCATCCATAGTAGCTGCACTAGTAACTCGGTGGCTATAGCATCCGATTGCCGCCGCACCGACCCGTGTTCGAGCTTCGCTGGGGAATCAAACTTTATCAACTTTATACATAATCGTAACGTCTGTAACGCTTCCAGCATGTCACTCATTCTTGACACTTATTATGCTGGTTGGGGCTAATTTTTATCGTAGAAAACGCCACATAAAACACATTTTGCGGTAGAAGATAGAGTGATGGGAGGACACATAGAAACAATTGCGATGATGATGCAAGATATGGTGAGGGTGATGTTAAAACTCGCCGTACAATGCGAGTATGGGCCGCAGTCGTGCCAGGGCTGCACCCTCCAGCTTCCGCAATGTGGCGTGCGCTCCGTGTTTTTTTTATGTTCGAAGTGTTTACCTTTTCTCTCTTTTGTAAGAGTTCTGATAAGGACTGATAGTATGTGAAATAAATAAAGGCAGAAAGCTGGCACTGGAGGCAGAGCACCTACTGCATTCTTAAACCTGTCACCGACCGTTCATATTTTAGAGCGCAGCTCTTAGGCGCCCGTTTCCGGCTTGAGTGGCGTCGGCGTAACCAAGGTCACCCCAAGGTCACGTGACCCCCCCCCCCCCCCCTCGAGGTCACGTGACCCCTCCCGAGGTCACCCCAAGGCCACGTGACTTCTCCCAAGGTCACGTGACCCCCCAAGGTGACCCCCCTAAGGTCACGTGGCCCCCTCCCCCCCCCCCCTCGAAGTCACGTGACCCCCCCCCTTCCCCGAGGTCAGGTGACCAGGGGGTCACCTGACCACCTAGGGTCAGGTGGTCAGGTATGAGGGGAGGAGAAGGAGGAGGAGGAGGAGGGGTCTGCCCTTTCCTCAGTACCCTTCCCTCCTCCTCCCCAAGAGCTGCGCTCCACTTTGGCATTACAGGGAGTTGTAAACGGCTTTCACTTTTTTTCGGTCTCTATAGTAGTACCGTAAAATACCGGGCAAGCGCCCACTCAAAATTTAGAGATAATCATGAAAAAATGGGGGATGGGTGCTTGTCTGATCATCAATAGACCGATCTCACCAGCCAGTTTGACTACGCCACTTCTGCTGCAAAGCATAGAGGGAACTTTAGTCTTTCTGCGTGTGCGACAACCTCGCTAGAGCTCTGCGCGTGCAGGCCACGAACAGTCTCGTGCACTGCCGATTGCTTCCTGGGAACTAAAGTTATGGCTGCCTCGCGCATGCGTCAAATGCTTGGTGAGGTCGGTCTATATTACATATAAATGTACTGTGCACTTTTTTTCGTATCTTAGAAATTTGGATATGGGCACTTAATGTGGAATGGGCGGATGCGCGGTATTCTACGGTAATGTTATTAGAAGATACCAATAGGGGGTACACCTTACGTAGAATTGTGAGAACATGCGGTGAAGTGCAGTATGAATTTAACTCGCTTAGAAACATTAAAAGTAGGCAGTTTGTCTCTGCAATCTGTTTGATCTAGCATGGGTTCTGATTTCTCGATTGCACGATCAATGTCTGAAGCCATATTCGATCGGCCATTGGTCGAAGGGTGTTGTATGTCTGGCGTGTTTCCCCGCTCCACAGCGGAACATGGTTACGCCTTGGCTGCGCGCGGCATCGCTGGCTCCACGGTACGATCGGTGTTTAGCCGCCGCCTGCTGGAAATACTCAACCTCAACGATGCCCAGGAGTGCGAGGTGGAGCTGCAGAAGCTCAAGAGGGAACTGGACGTGTGCAGTTGAGTGCCCTGAAATCTTATTTCTACGATAAGTACAGCGTGTACCCCCCCCCCCCCCCTCCCCAACTTTACGGGGTTTCTTTCACCGCAAAAATGAATGATGCCTCGCCGAACGCTCATTCTCCTCTCAAATGTAGCGCTAGTGGTCCGTACCAGATGCCAAAGTTTCAGAACTAACCGTTATTTCAATTAAAAGTTATAAGTGATTTTTTGAAAATTTCAGTGGGAAAATGGGGCTTGTTCTTAGTAACTGGCACCACTCAGTTTCGTGTGTTCGAGGGCTTCAATAGCCACCATTTTATCAATGAAAATTCCAGGAAATCACAAATCATTCTTACACTAAAATCACAGTTAGTTCTGAGACCTTGGCATCTGGATCGGAACGCTAGCGCTTCATTTTCTGACAGTACATTTATATAAACGTGGCGGAGACCACGCTAAAAGATGGATTTACGGCCTGATTTCCGCGTTTTTGGTAACTGGCATTTTGACAATCTGGTAACTGCGGCTGTAGCTTGCTAGGTAGAGTGGGCATGTCTTTCTCAGTTTTCAGCTTCTCTAGAACTGTCTGTGCTTCCAGGGAGACTGGCAGTAAACACGGAAGAACCTGGAAACTCAACCCCTCCCGCAGCTAAGGGTATGTTGGTGTCTCGGCTCATTCACTCACGGACGTACCGTATTGGACAGTGTAAGCTGGAACAACCATACGACGGCTGAGAACTGGGGCACAAAAGAGGGTGTGGACGAGAGTGTGTTGTCAGTGCTCTTTGACTCAGCAGCCTGATCATGCAAAGAACACATTAGCAAGCATCAGTATCATGTGCTTAGACATAATCAAGTTAGCATTAAGTGCAATTAAGCAGTAGCTAAAATGCAAGGCAAGGTGAATTCAAAGTACATTTCAGAACACTGAAAAGAACGTACTGAGTCACAATGTCACCACACTTTTGTCTGTGCACTTTTTTTTGTGCCATTTCAACTTCTTGTCTCAGGACTTTGCTTCTTTGTTGTGTCTTTGTTTCTGTTGTTGCTGAATCGTTCCAGCTTAAACTATTCAAGACTGCACCAAAAATCGTATTGAACACATTCTCGTTGAGCTAACGTTTCACATCGTTTTGCCGTCCAGCCACGGCCAGCAGGAAACGGCCCAAGCTCGCCAACACACGGAGAAAGGCGGGCTGCGGAACTTCAGAGTTTCTCTCGCTGTTGCCCAACGCATCGACCCTCCCTCAGGTCGAAGGGTGCGTCGAGTTTTCTTTTGGTCTTAGTTGGTGTGCTCCCTGAAGCCAACTGTGTAAATCGGAAACAAACGAACGTTGGTGTTTCAAGGACCACAAGTGCAGACATTGCCTCTTTATGTTTTGCGACAGGCAATTCAGGGTGGGCAGCAGTGACATTATCAGGAAAAGTGCATATAATGGGAAACATGGAAAGGTGGATGTGCAATCTGCAATGTTGAGCAAGCTGAGGTGGCAGTCACTCAAGTGGAACTTGTCTTTGACCTTGCAATTTTCATCTGTTGAAGAATGGCTGCATAGAAATCTTTCTTTAAAAGATGGGCTTATCCCTAAAGGGCCACTAAAGAGATTTCCGACTGTCTTTTTAGCATACTATAGCTTGATCTTTTATATTTCAAAAATTCTAAGAAGGAATGTTTGCGTGCATGCTTCACTTTTATATTAAAAATTATGCCTTGAAAGATAGGCTGCTGAAGGCAGGGGTTGCAGCAGAAGGCACTAAGAATGAAGAAGTTAGAGATTGTAGTGATTGCCTTGCACTATGAACTCGTGCCTCAAATGTGAGCAGTGTTTCTCCAAGGCTACACAGAAGACTGTATCTTGTCATGGCCTTGATTGATATGACCGGTGCTCGTTTCCACTTTCAAGTTGCCATTGAGAGTGCTTGTATCTGCTTCTTAAAGGCGAATGCTTTTACGGGCTGATTTTTAAGCCTGAGCACCACGAAATATTGTAACGAAAATATGGTAACACGACCAATGGTCCTTACAAAAGACTGCGTGCCTCAGCAGGATTTGAACCACCAACCCATCGCTTTTTAGTTGATACCCTATCCTCTTTGCCAGCACAGCAGCTTTGATTAGCACGCTATAGTTGTGACATATGTACTTCCATTGTCAAAAGCTTTTAGGGGCAAAGCTCCTTAGGGTCTAGCCTTGTCCATCCGGCGTCCGTGCTCACATCGATATTGCTGGTGCTCGTGCTCGTGAGCTCACATGCTCACACGCTCGTGTAAAAAAAAAAAAAAAAAATTAAGAAAAAAAAAATGTTTGTGCAGTCGACAGGATTCGAACCTGTGCGGGAGACCCCAATGGATTTCTAGTCCATCGCCTTAACCACTCGGCCACGACTGCGGGACGAGTAGGGGGCTTTGAGATGTGGTAGTAACTCAAGAGCTGGGGATGCCATGGATGAAACGTTGCATGTAGCCGCTCAACGTCTATACAGGAGAAGGCGCTGCGGTCAAATGCGTATATAATTGCGTTAAACTTTGCATGCATTGGCTCAACGTTTATAGACGAAAGGGTGCTGCGGTCAAATGCTCAAATGCATATATAACCACGTTCCATACCGCACATTCTCTTTCTGACATGGATGAAAAGGAACGAAAGGCTCGGCATGCTCACCTCAGCGTCTACGCAGACAAGCACCACCAGAGCTTCGCCTCAATCAACATTATTCACCACGGGGTGATGCGGTCAATATTTTTCTCCTAAGGGGGGACAGAAGCTCAAAACTAAGATTAAGATTGATTTCCATTCTTTCTGACGTCTTCTCTATTATCATGTATAAACACCAAGGGGGTAAAGGCAGGACCAGAACGCTGCAAATCACAGGCACTGGCATTGGTGGGCCCAAGAAAAAAAAAATGAGAAAGAGAGTGACAGGGGAGAGGAGAAAGAAAGCGGACGATATGTTACATGTGTTTGTTTTTGCTTCGATGAGCCGAAGTTGTTAGGATATGTGTTAACTTTATTTATTTTTATACAATTCGCAATGCTGGTTTTCTCGCGCAAAATAAAGCTAAAAGAAGACTATAAATTATAAATAAGGGAAGAACATAAAGGACGGTCTCATCCTCCGATTGACTAAAGCCCAATGCTACAGGCCGCCTGGTCCAATCAGGAGCCTGTTAGGAACCACGTGGTATATTTGCTCCCTCATACGTATCGGTGCACCGAGACGCGTCATGCGAAGGCGAGTTTTTCGTCTGCTTATCGAGCCCTCGTGGCGGCTCCGTCTGCTTGCCACTACTGAAGACTGCTGAAGGGATTAAATACCGTCTGGAAGAGATGGGACGAAGAGAACCTCGGATCAGAAGCTGTGGCCAATAAAAAACGAAGATGAGTTGGAAAAGGGACACGGGAATGTATGTACGGATTGCATGCGGAAGGGAGATGCGGGTTTGGGTATGTTTTACGTACACAAAAGTGGGATTGGATTGGATTGTTATGGCTAAGGCAAAATGACTTTATGTCAGTGTTGCCTGCGCACCATCCTACTTCTCCAAACAGCTAACATGTTTACAAAATATGGCAAGAATGTTTATGAAACTCAATACCATATACCTTTACTTCACCAATATAAAATAGCGCGCTATCATAACAGAGAGCCATATGCATTAGATTAGTGCTCTTCGTACTCTGCATATCGAAATTTCTCTCGCGCACTCTTTCACAATGCGGATGCAAGCTTTTTTGAGGCAGTGCTCCGCCCAGCAGCCTTTGGGCCCTAGTCCATTGTAGGGTGAGACGGAGTATAGATACAGACCTTGCAAACTATATTTTCCCGCTATGTATCAAAGCGTTGCCAGCCATGTAGTCCCATCATTTAGGCCGTCCTCAACTGGCCTAAATGCGTGGGACCTTTCTCTCTAGATTCTTACGTTAAGTTTACGATAAAAACACCTCGTTCTTGTCGTCTCCACCTTTCACCAGATGGTTTCATGTGAGGAAAACACGAAGAGTAACTTTTTACAACGAGTTTGTACTCGGACGGTTTCCAGGGAGAAAGGGGACTGCGTGGCGGCCATGGGCTGGGCCCCGCTGGCCCGCAGCCGCAGCTGCACGGACCGGGGTCCGCCGGCCTACCTGCTGGCCAGCATACTTTCGACCCCGGGCACCCACCTGGCCATCTCGCATGACGACACCTCCCCCGGCGCCGTCCACTGCTTCCAGGACGAGCACGGTGAGTGGCTGTGTGGCGCCCGTCACGTGTTTTCCACTGGCGCATTCACCGTGTCCAAAAAAGTGGTCCTTCGATTGCCACTGACCTCGCAGCTGCGTCGCGTCGTCGCCAGCCACGATCCCGGTGACGTCGCAGCAGCGATGGTACTATACGTGGCCGACACCTGTTCTGCCGTAGGTCTCTCTTTAGCTTGACAGTCCTCGGAAGCTTCGGCAGTTGGGAGTTAGGAAGCCGCGACAACCAACGGTCGACACTCGCACACTCTCATACTTTTTGCTGGGACTACTACGTCCAGTTGCCATGGTAGGGACATCCCGTGGACGGGGGGGACAACGAGGGCCTTGCCAACCCTAGCCTTCCCCGCTGGAGGACGGAACCCCTGAGGCGGGGAGCGCGGCGTGTGACGTGTGGCGTGAGACGGGGGGACGGCGTGAGGCCGCATGACGTGCAACGCGTGACATGTGTAAACGTGGGGTGTACGACATGGAGCGGAACGCGTGAGATCGTGACGTGTGACGCGGGGCATGCGATGCCACATGAAGACCCGGTTGAGGCATCCCTATAAGGGGAAGGTAGCGCCTCTCGAATCTCCCCAAGTAGGGAGGCACCCCGCATGATGGCGGAGGTGGTCTCCAGGGGAGCCGAGAAATATGAAACTGATCACTGCGACGGGGCAGTTTGGTTCATGGTTGCCAAACAGTGACCGTCAGACCCGCTGTGGGGCACGCTCGTGTCTTAGTAGCGGAGCTGAACAGTGAGTTGGGCACGTGGGTACTTTTGTACCGGTTGGTTTTCCCAGGCCGTTCCACTGGCTGTTCCAATAGATTCGAAAAGCGCCAGAAAACAAGGACAACAGAAGGAATAGACGAAACGATGCTTCTGTTGTCCTTGTTTTCTGGCGCTTTTCGAATCTAAGATGTACCAACTTGCCCAACTCCAGGTTCTTCTACAATCTGTTCCAATAGTTGGTTTCATTTATCCCCACTTAATTCCAATTGGCTTTTTCCTTAAAATTTCCACTTGGTCACACGATCCATTTCACTTTTTATCAGAATTGGCTTAAGCCTGCAGTGCTCACGCGGGAGCGGGCAGAGGACTACAGTAGAATCTCGATGATACGATTACGGATGTTACGAATTTCGGGATGATATGAATTTTTTTTAGGTCCCGGCCGAGGCCCCCTAGTTTTCAATGGGTTAGGATACGGTTATTACGAATGGATTTTCGTCCCTGTTTGGTTGATATGAACAGACGCTGATAAACGTTGGCCCCGCCGACGGTCGCCGTGGAGAACGCCCGCCAGCAACTCCGCCGGAACAGACGCTGCCCCGCTGACGGCCGCCGTGGAGAACGCCCGCCAGCAACTCCGCCGGCACGCGCATGCGGCCCGCAACGGGTTTGGAGTCTCGCCAAGGTCGTCAGTCACGCAGTGCATTTTTTTGCTTTCGCTTTGAGATGACAGATGGCGCCAGGCTCGCGTTTTTTTATTTTTTTATTTTATCACCGAGGTGGCGGAGCACCGACCGCAGCAGGCCGGGGAGCTTCATTCGAGCGTGCGTCTTGAGCGTGAGCTGGACCACAACACGGAGCCGTTTCTGCTGCTACTGCGCTCGAGGGCACGTGTTTGTTTTGTTTTCCCGCTCGTTTGCGGTGGCGAAGCGAGATGTCTCGCAAGCGCGAAGCACTGTCTTTTAAAGAGAAATTGGACATTCTGCGGAAGGTGGATGAGGACCTCAAGAAGAAGCGGACCGAGCTGGCGAAGGAGCCGCGCGACATCAACGTTAAGCACGATCGTTGGACAGCGCAAACTCATCATGAAGGACGCCCTTCAATGTTAACGCGAAGCAAGCCAAGACGGCTCAATACGTTAAGCTTGAGCGAAGTTAAGCGAAGAAGAAATCGCAGAAAGACATTCAACATTTCTTTGGTAAAAAATAAATAGAGCTTTTCTGTGTGCCTAGGTAAGTTTTTCAGTGTGATTTTTTTTGTTAATTTAGCTAGTTTCGGATGTTTGGGTAATACGAATTTCGGCTAATAAGAATATTTTTGGTGACCCCGCGAGATTCGTATCATCGAGATTCTACTGTAGTTATTTTTCAATCTTTTACAAAGAGCCCCAACCTCAAAAGTTGTCGGTATATCCGTCGGCGTGGCATTGCGTCTCATCTGACGTCGTTTGTCGCCACCTGGGGACCACTTTTGGTGCATGGGTGGGACACTGAACACACCAGTTTGAGACGCATTCGAGTGAGTGTCGGCATCTGATGGAGACGAGTAATCTGTTCCGAATATGTTCCTTTCCGAGGCTGTCATTGTAGCCATCAATCACGACACACAATTTTATTTCTGGGTTGTGTTTTGCTTTTTCTCTGGTACCTAGACTACAGGAATGCTTACGACACCTTTACCCCGAAGAAAAATTGGATACGCTAAGACACTGATGCGGGTATTTGCATACTATGCCGATATAGTAAACATGCTGGCTTTGCGTAGATAACTTTTTTTTTACGGACAAATCTAGCCTTTTTTATAGAGAGCTGTAGCTTCGGCTGTATATTGCTTTTTATTAGTGTCGCGAGAGTAGGGTCTTTTTTAATGCTTCGTGCTGGCACCTAAACTTCATTTTCCCTTCAGTTGTGTTGCAATAAAGACTAGAAGCCACAGTTCATAGCTTGGAGATTCTCACCATGTGAGAGTTTGCTCATGCTTGTAGCCTTCAGCACCCAAAAAACATTTTCTTAAAGTGCCGGGGTAGGGCATATTTTACTATGTCACTAAATATATTCTCTCTTTTTCTCTTTCCTCCTCCCCCCAAAAAAAGAAAAAGAGAAAATGTTTTAATTTAATAGTTATATTACGAGTCATATTTCAAGTTGCTGCGATTCCGAAAGACTGTTCCATTTTGGGGCTGTCATCTTGAAATTAAAGCATGTTTTGCTCCTGTTCCTTCTGATGCAAAATATCTTGTTCCGAACTTCAAGTGTGACTTGCAGCTTAAATATTGCACTGATTTATTATTTTCTTTTTTTAGGGGCAAGCTTTTTTTTTTTTTTTAATACCTAATTACACTTTTAATCCCGGCACCTAACGGAAAATGTGTTTTTGGGGGTTCACTGTCTTTTTAATTAAAGGGGCCCTGCAATCATATTTAAGCGTCTACCTTTTTTGCCGTTTCCACATCTGTTGGGTTCGGGCAAGCCAGCGGGCACGGAGAGAGTAACTAAATATCAGTGCATCATATTTTAACCGGACGACGCGGAAACCTCCTCCACCTACAGGGGTGACTCGCGGTGCCAAAAGCATGCGATATGTGACGTTTTTGGTCCTGGCCTTACTACTGGTCAGAGCCACTAAATGCTTCCTTTTTAGTTGAAATACAAAATATAAGTGGCACGAACCGCTTAAATTATTGATGAAAGCAGTTTTTCTTCAGTATTTTAGCTCAGAAAAGAAACAAATGCAGTTTATAAAGTACAGAAACAAGAAATGACCCATCGACATACCCGCCACCAAGCCGTGGAATAGGCGGCAGATACTAGAAAGGAGTAGTGGGATGAGGCACCAAGAGCGGTGAGCGTAAAAAGGTCCCGGGTGTAGGCGGCGGTGCTGCGGTCGAGGATCCGACCGGTTCCGAGCGTTGCAGAGGCCTTCGGCTGCTTCGGCAAGCAGGTTTTGCGGTGTGGCAGTGCAAAGTGGCTCCCGTTCTGAACTGACCTTTACCCCGTATTTGCTGTCGTTTGTGGCCAATGAAGTGTCAGGCCGAATTAGTGTGTTATTGCACAGCAAATGCAATGCCAGCCGCCCTGGCTGCCCGCTTCATACAGCCTATCTAGAACATGCTTTCGTGGCGCCCTCTCGAGCCATCGACACGGAGTGCGGCAGCCGTGAGCTCTCACTGAGCTCACTACCCCCCCTCTAGTTCACGGCCACTCAAGCAACCAAAGACGTCATGAAGGAGGTTATTTTTTGCTGGTTTTTGTAATTTTAATTTGCCTATAACTTCTTAAATAAAGCGAAATCTGAGAAAAAAAAAAGTTTCATTAAGTTACTACGTTCCGTGCGCTCAGGTTTGGTGCAAAATAAAAACCAGTAAAAAAGTCATTGCAGGGGCCCCTTTTAGGGGGATATGAAGTATACACCCTATTGCTGGTTAAGAATAGCGGGATAGGCTCCTCCTACAAAGCCCTCCAATCTTTTTATTTTAGCAGATTGAACGTTGAAGAGGAGGAAACCGCGAATCGCGGTGAGCAGGGAGCTTTGTTGTGGGTGCTTGTCCCGCTATTCTAGAACTGCAACAGGCTATACACGGTGAAGAGATTGGCTCCCGGTTTCGGTAAAATTGCACAAAGAGCCGAGCTCTCGTTTAGTCGAGCGGCTTTTACTTGCAGGGAACTGGCAGACATACACATTTGACGAAAACAGCACGGGCGTGTCGCGGGGGCTGGAGGTCTCTCCGGACGCAAGGATCTTCCAGCTGATGTTCGACAACAAGTGGTCAGTGGATGGTTTCTTCTTTGTTGGTTCCTTTCTTTGTGTGCAAACAAAGAAATAGTCAGAAGGAGGAGACAGGCCTTTAAGTTTGTGCTCAGTTTTCTATTCTAATATGGTCGTGACACTGCGAAGAGATTGGTTCGGTGAGAAAGCAAGAGCCCTTTTGCACTCGAAAGCTCTGGCATGGACGCATTGCTTTGGCTCGAAGAGTGCAGGGTTTTATTGAGAGGCTGGAGGGATCGTGAAACGCAGGCTGCAGCGAGGAACTGGGCAATCTTTCTCTTCTGTGCAGTTATCTCTCTAGGATGCCGTACAATCTTTTAAGGTAGCTACTGTCTGCAGGGTTTATTTACCGCTATATTTAGCAGGAATCATTCCCCGCTGGATGCAGCAAAAAAAAAGAAATTGAATTGTTGCGTGAATAAAATGTTTAAGTTTAAATCACGTGCCAGTAAATAAATAAATAATCACAAATATGTTCACTACATTTGGCAGAAAAATACTTCCTGCTAAATCTAGCAAAAGGTTACATGACTCCAGAGATCAGAAAAGCTAATAAATAAATTACCAACACAGACTAAGACACACTGCGGGCTCTGTGTCTCCTGGCTTTATCCCTAAAATTAATATATATATATATTTTTTTGTATGATTCGGTACTTTTGTTGAGGCTTTGCCACTGGGAGCTTTTGAAGCAGTCTTACAAAATTCATGATGTTGCTGCGAGCACTGCGCATCACGTTCATGCCCATCGCACTGCAAGCACGTGTGACACGCGCAACACCTCGTCTGCCCAGGGAGACATCCTCGCACAGCAGTTCGAGCTCAACGACCGTGTTGGAGAGTCCAGCACCCAGGGGCTTGCCCGTGGTGCCCTTTGGGTGCACCACCATGGTGCCGAGCACCACGGGGGCCACCACACCAGGTGCCACGGGTGGCAAGCTGCTCAGGCCGCACCACCGGCACCACCACCACCTCCACCAGGGAGGCGTGGTGAGGATCCATTTTGAAACTTGTAGCTCACATTTGGAGCTGCCCTCGAGGAGCTCATTGTGAAATGTTACTCAGTGACGTGATGCCTTGGGCAGGGTGTACATCCGCGATCACGTGACATCATGTGACGTGACCATGTGTCTTCTGCATATGCACCGTTCATTCACGGCAGTTTTTCAGGAGCCTAATGGCTGTTTTCTGTACTCACGTTTGACCATGACCGAGCATGTTCTGACCTTCCATAAGCGCTTAACTCACTGGGACAATCTATTGGGCAGACCCGGAATGCTTCCGACCTGCATACAACTAGACTGAAGGTTTTGCAGGAACAACCCGGATGCGCACGTCAGGAGTGTTCCAGGGCAACCGTATAAATGGCGCCAGTGTGTCAAGTAGAGAGCCTGTATTACAGAGAGTTTTCAGCTGCTCGATTGGGGTTGTGTGGTTCATGAGCCGCGTTTGCAACACGAGCTGCGAGGAGTTGCCTGAAGCGTCAATCGTCTGCTCTCTGTCTTTCCACCTGCTTTCCTTCTCGCCACGCGAAAATGCGCGTGTGCACACCTGCGACCAATCTCCACAAGAGGCGTCCACCATTGAATTGCAAACGCTGTCCATGGCCTGAGATGGACCCTTTTTTTTAATCTAGCTGCTCTCTAGCGTTAAGTGGTTGCGAGAGCTTGTAGCGCACTCTGTGGCGGTCAAATGCAAATGGGTGAATCAGTCCGAAGTAATTGCCACCAGTGCATTAGAAAAAACAATCTAACGCACTTACACCTCCCCGACTTCTTAGGCTTATTTCCAATACTACTAGTCTACTCAGTGCAAACCTGCAACATTTAGCTATTAAGTCTGATTGCTAGGGGTGTGCGAATACCGAATAGTAGTTTTCGAATCGAATACTGAATCGAATCAAGAAAAAAAGCCAAACATTGAATTGAATATTGAATAGTGATTTTATTTATAGGAATTTCTCAAAGTGTGTTGCGAATGAGATTATTACATGTGCTGAGTATGTGCCTGGTGCAGAATATGCATCTTGTACGGAACAAAAGCCAAAATGTAAGAAAGTTCTGGTGAAAAAAAACAAACAAAAAACAGTTGCTGTCAAACGTCGGGCACTAAAGATCCAATTTTATGGCGCAAACATAATCTATCTACCCTAAACGTCACAAAAAAGCCTAAGTTACAGCCGCGCGTGCCTTTTTTTTCTTGTTTAAAGCACAACCTAACACCGCAACCTTTTTTTATATTTGTATATCTCAGAAAAAGGGCATTTTGCGATATTTGGTCTCCATTTTAAGGAAGAAAAAGGGCACCCGGGATTTTATTTCACATAAATAAACAGATAGGTGTCAAATCTGAGTAAACAGGCTTAAAGCAATATGATCTGAAGTAAGAAAAAAAACGTGGTTAGGTGGCGCAAGCCACCGTCCAACTGCTGCTATGCATCCATTTTTCCTTCTATATATCCTGTTTTAGAGAGCCTTGATTTGAAAGAGGGAGCAAGCGAAACTAAAACCCCGGAGACGGCTCCAGTGCAGATTGGTCGTAAGTGTGCATGTGTTGTTTTGTCGCGTGGAAAGAAGGCGAGCAAACAAAAGAGAGAGCGATGACGCCTGCCCTGCCTGCCCGATCCCGATCTATGCTTTCGTCTTTTCGTCACCTTCTCGCAGTTCGTAATTTAAACGCGGCTATCGAACGGTTGGAAACCCTCTCAAATCTAGGCGCACTATTTTAGGGGTGAAGCTCCTTAGGGGCAAGCCATGTCCGTATGTCCGTCCGCCGTTGGGTGCAAGTGCTCCTGCTCGTGAGCTCACTCGCTCACGTGCACGTGAGCACGTGCTCCTGTGCTCGTGTAGGGCAAAAAAAACCAAAAAAAAAACGCATCTCCACGTGGTGAATGATGTTGATTGGGGCGAAGCTCTGGTGGTGCTTGTCTGCGTAGACGGTGAGCCGCACCATGCCGAGTCTTTGGTTCGTTTTCATCCATGTCAGAAAAGGAATGTGTGGTATGGAACGTGGTTATATACGCATTTGAGCATTTGACCGCAGCGTGACATGGATGAAAACGAACGAAAGGCTCGGCATCCTGCAGCTCACCGTCTACGCAGACAAGCATTACTAGAGCTTCGCCCCAATCAACATCATTCACCACGTGGAGATGCGGCTGTTTTTTTCCGTTCCGTTTCGTTCCGAATCAGAATTTGCGGCTTGCAGTTCCAAAAGAATGACGACGATAACTCGGCTGGTTTCATCGGCGTGGGTAACGTGGTTTTCTTTCTGTGATCGTGCAATTGCCGATTTCTGTGAGTGCGGCCAAGTGTGTTTTACATCGGCACTTCAATTTGAAACGAGGGGCTTTACTCGTGAAAAGATTTAGGTATGGCGCGGCGGCGCAAACGAGATGTTTCGGTTGTGAGTCAGGGGTAAATTGTGTCACGATCGTGAGTAAATCTGCGTGCTATAAAGTTCGTGGCGTTTGTTACTTTTCTTTTTTCTAACCTGTGCGTTAGATCTTTGTGGAATGGTAGGACCAAGAGGTGTTTCTCGCATGGTCTGTCTAACATCACGGCGCTTACATCAGGAGACAAAAAAACTGCTTTTTTGTCAGCTCCGCGCCGACCGCACGTCTTTGGCCGAATATATTGAATATTCGAGTGAACCAAATACTATGAATTCGATTCGCGAATCGAATTATTCGGGAACTTTCTATTCAATTCAAATTCGTATATTCGAGTATTCGCACACCCCTACTGATTACCGTAATATAACGAGAGATAGCTCACCTAAAATCAGTAGAAATTTGGGTGAAAATATGGAGAGGGCTAACTTTCGGTGTGCAATAAAGAAAAGTTGAAAAAATGCTATTTTCAGATTATCTGCCCCTGCCAAACTTGTTCTTGCAGCAAGGGGAAATGAAGCAAAGATGACTGTACTTCCCAGTCAGCAAAGTTCGCTTATATCCTGCCATAGCTAGCTAGACGCATTTACGTCGAGGTCATCATTAATCCGAACACTTTGATCACTAGGAGTGGGCTATCTTTCGGTGCTTAAAAGATATAGCAGATCAAACCAAAAATAGGGGGCAGATTTCCTTTCGGGGGTGGGGCATCTCTCACGTGGGGTTTTACAGTAGGTACAGGGCTCACACGTATCAGATTTAAATTGACTTTAATCGAAATTTCTCACTACTTCAATGTGATCTGCCTATCGGGCAGAAGCTGATAGTATCTGCAAAGAACGCTGTCTAAGCGGTGCTCTCATCCTAATACCATAAATCTTGTCTTTCTCCAAATGAAGGTAATTAATTGCAACAGCAGACGAAATCAGACGGCATCGAGAGCGCTTCATTTGCCTGCTTATATCCAGGAAATTTATCGTGCTGTGGCCAGCTACTTTGTGGTATTGCACGCTGTGATGAGAACGGCCTGAGCCACCAGAAGGGGAAGTACGGTGCTGAGTGGGCACTTATCGTGCCCGTAGTTAGAGTGCTGCTTGTGCGCTGTGCGATGTGTGTGAACCAGCCCTAAGGCCTGTTCACACATACACCGCAGTGCAAACATGGGTCTATAGACAAAGCATTGACTTCGCGCTATCTGTGTGATCCGACGCAAGTGACATTGCCTTTTCTTGTTTACGCACGCAATGCAGTGCACTCAGCCCTGAATCAGCACTGACAGTAGTGCTGATGCAGCGCTGAGTTTCCTTTATTTCAGTGCCTTAGCCCACCGTCGTCCGATCCAGAACGCCCTTTCTCGTTTCCTCCACAGCAGCAACACCAGCCGCCGTCGTCCCTCGAATCCCTGCCGTCCCTGGTGCCGTCGCTCAACCTGCGGAGGGGCGGGGCCTCTGATTCCACGTCGGCATTGGCCGGCGGCCCGGTGGGTGGGTCCCTGAGGGGCGGGGCCGGTTTCGACGGGGGCGGAGCCAGAGCACCCTTTGCCCTGGCCGAGTCCTTTCTGAGTCACATGGCAGTTCGCGGAGGGGGCGGGGCCACCCTCTCCCAGACAGCCTCCTCTCAGGCAAGCTATGCTCCTTGTTTTATTTTTATCATAAATAATTGAAATAATTTAGAATTCCTTGCAGAAGAACTTCTCTATATGCAGTATACAGTCGCCGACCGATTTTGCGGACTTCGTGAGAACTGAACAAACGTCCGATAAATAAAGCAGTCCGAAAAATCCTCAGGTCACAAACGTTGGCTTTATTGAGCCTAGGCGGACTTGAAAAAGTCATGAAGGCTACCTTGTTTCATGTTCCGCCTGCGGGAGATCACGTCCGCTTGCATCCGCGCCAGCGTCATATACGAAGACGGCGAGAACGTGCTCCACACTTTACAAATGGCGACTGGCTTTGGTTGGAGATGGAAAATCAATGGAACAAAGAAACGAAAACGATGATGATGATGCGAAGCAAAAAAAATACTATAGGACGCCTAGCAGCTGATTCGGCAGCTCTAGAATAGTGCTCTGCCAAACCTATCCAAATCCACTTAAAACATCAAGCCAAGCCTACGGTCAAGCCAGCGAAAAATCCAAAATGGCAGCCCTTTGGCGGCCGCCGCTCGCATTTTAGTCCGGAAAATTTAACTTTAGGGCCGCAAACTGTCCGCAAAACTGGTTGTTAATATGTACTATTTCAATCGGGTAAGTAACGGTTCCCCGTTGATGTCCGGAATAACAAGCAAGTCTGTAATTTTGGCGTCCGATAATTCCGTCGGCGACTGTAGTACCGTAAAATACCGGGGGGCACTTACCCCACTTTCACTGAAAACTGGGCTAATCTGGACCTGGGCGCCTGTCCGCTAAAATTTAGCGCTTAACATATAATTGGCAAAATTCTCAAGCTGGTGAAATGATAAAAGTGGGTGCTTGAACGAAGTGGGCGCTTCCGCAGTATGTTACGGTGGGCTCGCGATATTTCAAACTCGGATATTTCATACTTATGGCTAATTCAAACAAATTTAAAAATTTTGGTTGTGCCGCTATACTTTTTATGGATTTATAAGCTACTTAATTTGAACGGTGTTTTCTTGTAATTTAAATTTTTTGTTCTCGTGGGCTCGTTGAGTGCGCTTCTTTCCAAGCACCGGTGCACTGCGGAGAAACAACACCCGCGGAGCTCGCTTCCGCGGGTGTTGCTCCTCTGCAGTGCAGCTGTGCTTGGCAAGAAACGCGCTCAACAGGGCTAATAGCCTACAATAAACAGCCTTTTTGTTGGATGAACAAACTTAACTTTGTTTTGAGTTGTCATGTGCTGTCTAAACAGTCCATGATAAACAACATTTTTGAGAGATAATTAAACTTATGTCCTACATTTTGCAAATGTTTTGTGTGTGGCATACCTGCTTATGATTGTAGGCCTGTGTAGAGGAAATCATCAAATATCTGCTTTGTATGTGTAGCCATCCATATAGCAAATCATAATTTTATGTTGCATCATATTTAAAAGAATTTATCATAATTCAAACAAAATTTGTGGCTTCCTAGAGTTTGAAATAATGAATAGAGTCTACTGTAGTGTCAGCTTTTCTCTTCTCTTTCGGGGGAAACGTTTTACTACACTAGGACCGCTTTTACAGAAAAGATTGTTTATTGCGAGAGCGTGGTCTCGTGCATCAATTGTGGGTGCAGTGGCACTACACCCGCGTATTTATTTCGGTCGTGAACTTTCATTGGTGTTTCTCCTTCCTCGGCTGCCCCTCAGCTGCCGGCACTATGCACTACAAATGAATAAAAACTAAATAAGAAAAGTCATTATAGTACCATGGAACATACTGATGTAAAATAATGCAAACACAAAGATGGGAAGAGGCGCTGTGTTCCGTCCCGTTCTTCTTTCCATTTTTGTGTATGCCTCATTTTACCTCAGTACATTCTGTGATTACAAACTGATGTCACGTGAAGTGGTCACGTGGCATGCCGTCGCGATGTCACATGTTGCCATGTCACGCCACCCGACATCTTGTGACGTCGGGTAACGTGACGTCCATTTCCGTGCAAAATTTAGCGGGGGAATTACTAAACTATATGTTCTCGTTCACTCCCCGAAACGACTTGCCTTGCGAAAAAAATTGAACGATCGCGATCCTTAAATACTGTGTTCTACGCATTGTACGACTTTGGAGGTAAAAGTCACTGCCAGTTTTCTATCCCTTGTGCGGCTTTCCCCTCAGGACACGGAGCTGGACTCTACGTGCCACATGCGCTTTGTTGGCAGCGGGACCCTTCGCACCAGTCAGCCCCGCCACTACTACCGCCTGAAGCTCCTGCCCTGTCGCTTTGTCCGGGTGGGCTTCGACCGACTGGCGCTGCTCACCGTGCTGGACAGGTAACCTGCAGCTCCCACTGGTGTGCCCTTCAACCGTACCTGCTGTCGGTGACGAGATAGAAATGCGGAAGAAGCTTTGGCATGTGCTTGTTGCTTTCCGTCGTGCTTTGACTACATGTGCACCGAAGTGTTGTCGAGAGTAGAGAACTTGCGCTGTAGTCCGCGCTCCTACTGCATGCTGAGCCTATTTGCAACTGTTCACAGCTTTCAGCAATGGTTGTACCAGAATGTGAGAATGACACTGCTTTGTTTTTGGATGACTGATTTCGCAGTGAAGGTGCATATTTACACCTTTTTGACGTAAAAATATCAAGCGAAGCTCTGATGCTCTTTTTTAGGGTTCCGTGTTTTCCGAGTTATGTCAAATTCAGAGGGTGTTTTTCGAAGTTCATTTTTGCCAAAAATTCACAGTTTATCAAGGTTTATTTTTGTTTGATTCCCAATTCTCCAAAATTTGAAGTTTAATTTCGCAGTGTTTCCTATAAAAAATAAATAAATAATATCCAAATGTAAACATATGCCAGATAAAAAAAATAAAACACACTTGTATCAATTAATATTTCTTCAGCTGGGTTTTGCATTGGTGCCATTGCCATTGGCTATTCTAATTTTTCCCACAGCAAAAGTTAGACACAAGTGTTGCTTCGATAAACATCAATACATTAAAATTAATAAACTCCTGGAGATGGTCGCTGGGAAGCTCTTATTTATCCCATCCTATTCCATCAAACTACCCCACGACCACGTGAGGTGGAGTGGTAAAGGATGTAATAGAGAAGTTTCAACTGCCCCTCTTCCCTATTTTTTGCTATCTCTATGGTCCATAGTTTTCACTCTTACAAAAACATAACCTTTCCTTCCTCTAAAGCACAAATAGTATGGGCAAATTTCGAAACCTAAACAGTGGCTTTTGTTGTGACCCGAACGTACAAGGATCTGTTGTCCTGTATGAACCTTGATGAAATAAGCGGTAAGTCCCCTTTTGACAATGGTCCGAGATTTGAAAGATAATTATAGTGGCATTTTCCCAGGACCATTCACCCTGCGCTAATAAAAATATAAAGTACTGACTTTTTAAGAAAAATTTGGTTTGGGGGGGGGGGGGGGGGGGGGGCATTGACACATCAAAATTCTGAGTTTGTCGGATAAATTCGAATTGACCAAAATTTTACTGGTAGATGTTTTTCTTAATTTTTGCGGATGTATCCAAAAACACGGAACCATACTCATATTTGACAAAATTATAATTGCTTACGTGTCATATGCCTCACCTCATACTTGCTGTTCTACGTTGATCATCCAGATGACAACCATTTTGATTGGTGCCTGTTGTGAAAGTTCCAAATACTGTTTTACGCAGCCCTCCATTACTAATCTGTCTCTCTGGTACCATTAATCACACACCCAACTTGAAGCGACGCAGCGCCACCTAACTGCTGCATGCACATGAAGCGGAAGCAAGAAACTTGTGGTTGTTTGAATGTCCTGAAGTTGCATAGATAAACCCTGTTTATCAGAGTTAATTTGTGTTCGTTATTCTACCATTAACTTTACAGAAACCAAACATACAAGCACTTCCCCAGAATAACAAAATAATTACTATACGAAAAAGCTTGGAAGTGGAAGTTTTCCCTGTTCTTATTTATGTAGATCTTACCAACCAGATGTGAAGTTTACAAAAAACACAGATGTTGAGTGTGCACATCAGCATGGATGTGTACTCAATTAACAGGTTTGAAATTAAGAGCAAATTATCCTTCAGCATTTGTGGCATGAAATTGAAGTCTCAAGAGAATGTCATTGCCCTTAGGACGATTATCAATATTTTTGTCAACACTTTTGGAAAAATCTCAGATCGATTTGAGCAAATGAGTCTCCACAAGGACAGAAACACCCCTGTAGGCACTTCTTTGCAAATTTCTATTTATCCATAAGGTTAGATCAATTACGTGAGCTCTTGTCCTGTTCCTGTTTCCTGGAACTTCCAGGAACCTGACGATTTCTGAGAACATTCTGTCTGTGATGCTGGCCGTCCTGGTTGCTGCCCTGGGAGCCCTGTGCCTGTCCTTGGGCTTCTTCCAAGACATCTACAGCTTCCTCTTCTGCTTTGTCATGGCCAGCTGCCAGTACAGCCTGCTCAAGGTGGGCGGCAGCCTCTACTTTTAACAGTACAGTATTGTGCAGTTGCTGAGACAAAATGTTTCAGTCGTGCTGAGCTCACTTAGTGGGAGTCAAAACTTTATGACTGTATTTCTTTTGTTTTTTGCTTTTGCTGTTTTTCTGGTTTCCTAGTCTTGTGGGGGGGGGGGGGGGGGGGGAAGGGGGGGGAGGGAGACGTGTGCCAGAGATTCTTGGATTCCTGCTTTATTGGACTAAAGGGACACCTACAAGGTATTTATGCTCGCCGAGGTTGTTTTTTTTTAACATGACCTATAAGAGCCCAACTACCCAAACACAATTTGTGGCTTGAACTTTGTTTTCTTCTTGTCTGAGAACAGCCAGTTGAGAATTGGCTGGTTTCAGTCGCACTCACTCTCTTTTTCATGGTCACGTGGCATTCAAACTATGTGTACCAAATATATTCAAAGTCGTAGGTCATCTAAGGCACAGATTCAATATTAAAAATAGGAAAGAATATGAACCCCATTTTTGTGACTTGCAGAAAGTTGCAAATACATTGTTTGAAAAAAAAATTTGCACAGATCACAGGAAGTACATGTACCCGTCACTCTCAATGTAGCGAAGTACCACAGGCTGGACAACGCGACAACGTCGCACGACGGACCAACGTTGCGACGGATGTGGGGCTGCTACTTCGGAGCTGTCCTTCGTGGTACCGGCCAATCAATCTTCAAGTGCAGAACATCGAGTGGAAGGGATATAAGTGCGAAACAATTGCACGACAAATGGTACACGCAACTTCGTTGTTGTCGTCGTCTGCCTCACACGCCCGAGAAGCGGAGAAAAAAAAAAAAATGCAGTCGGGTGTGGCCACGTGACTTGCAGCCATGAGCTTCCGTGCTCGTGTTTCGGTTTCGAGCAGTTGAGTTTTTTGGATTTATTAAAAATATCTGGGATTCTGTAGCAAAATATTGGTTGGGTAGTCTCGTGATATCATATTAAATCACATAAAAAAAAAACCTTTTTGGGGTGTGTGGTTGTTCTCAGCACTGTAAACTGCTTTTACCTGCAAAATTCTTCTTTTTTTTTTTTCTAGGGTTGCACAGCTTGTTGTAGCATGTATTCTGTTATGCCTCTGCCAAACCTGACTAGACAAAATATTAATCATATAGAAAGAGGAATCTTTTTTTTTTTGTTTATAGCTTTCGCAGTGTCACGACACATGCTGCTTACATGTATTCATTGGCTTGAGGCAGAAAGATACAGTAATCCCTTCAACTCGAACTGGGTTATCTCGAAGTATCAGTTAACTCGAAAGATTTCCTTGTCATGGAATGAACTCCCATAAATATTCACTCATTGCTTATCTCAAAAAGTTTTCAGGATCGACCTCGGATCTCTCAAAATCTTAACAACAAATATTACACAAATCAAAACAAAACAAAAAATGATCGCATCTCCATGTGGTGAATGATGTTGATTGGGGCGAAGCTCTGGTTGTGCTTGTCTGCGTAGACGCTGAGCCGCAGCATGCGGAGCCTTTCGTTCGTTTTCATCCATGTCAGAAAGAGGATGTGTGGTATGGAACGTGGTTATATACGCATTTGAGCATTTGACCGCAGCGCCTTGTCGTCTATAAATGTTGACCCAATGCATGCAAAGTTTAACGCGATTATATACGCATTTGACCGCAGTGCCCTCTCCTGTATAGACAGTGAGCAGCTACATTCAACGTTTCATCCATGACATCCCCAGCTCTTCAGTTACTACCACATCTCAGAGCCCCCTACTCGTCCCGCAGTCCTGGCCGAGCGGCTAAGGCGATGGTCTAGAAATCCATTGGGTTCTCCCCGCACAGGTTCGAATCCTGTCAACTGTGCAAACATTTTTTCTTTTTTTTTTTGCCCTACACGGGCACGTGAGCTCATGAGCACGAGCACCAGCAAGATCGATGTGAGCACGGATGCCGGACGGACAAGGCTAGACCCTAAGGAGCTTCGCCCCTAAAAAACGGGCATGGGGTGTTGCATAGAATGAACTGGTGGCTTACTGCCGAATTCACAAACCTCACTCTGATTGAGGGGCCCCTCCACTTCCTCGAGGAAGGTGCGAGGGTCGGCGCTGGCCAATGGCGACGACCCCAGGCCGCCTCTCCGTCGTCGCGATTGGCCAGTGCCGGCCCTTGCACCTTCTTCGAGGAAGTGGAGGGGCCCCTCAATCGGAGTGAGGTTTGTGAATTCGGTGGTTAGACATTGGTTGACGAAAAAACAGGAAAAACAAACACACACACAAAAAAGAATTGTGCACCATTGCGCATATCCGACAAAGTGCAAAATAGAAAAAAGATTGAGGTACACCTAAGCACTTATGAGTTGTGAATGCGAAAGCACGTACATCATTCTTGCTCTACGCATGTTGGCACGCTGACGGACACGCAGCACCATGAGGTGGCCGGTCGTTGAAACTGACGCACAGCGTCAGTTTTAACGACTGGCCACCCCATGGCGCTGCAGGTCCGGCGAATCAGAGCCTGGTCGACGCGCTAGCCAATGGGATAGAAGCGGTGTAAAAGGTGCTGTTGCTAACCGGTTAATGGGAGCTGGCTTAATTTGTAGAAAGATTTAACCTTTTGTGGTCAGATACTCTGATCAACTTAATGGTCATTCCGGTCAGGAACTATTTTGTACGCATGGGCCCCGGAAAAGTAAAATTATTTCACCGTACGAAGGTAACATCGTACACTGAATGTAAGGACAGGAACGTCGGGGAGATTGTTTGTCTACAAACTTCGGAACAACGTTTGTGGTGGAGCGGCTCTGCGGCCGCTGTGTTGCGCAGTCATTTCATATTCATCACTACTTTCACTCAAGTCACAGAGGTCGCCTCTCCATCATCTGATGGAGAGGCGACCTATCCGACTATATCCCTCCATCATCTGATGGAGGGATATAGTCGTCCTCTTCACTGAAATCGTTGTTACTTTCAATTACATCACGCAGAGAGTTACATAAAACGATCGTGGCCGGAACGTGGCTATAACCATCTTGCCAGCGAAGTTGAAATTTGCGCGCTCCTCCGTTGCGCAAAAAAAACATACAACATAAAACATGTCTTGTTTTTTTCTTTATGACTAGTCGTGCCCTCTATGAGAAGAAACTTGAACCCTTTCAAGAGTGATGTGATTGAAGCGTTTTCTAAGAGATGGCGCCACCAATCCAGCAAGAAGAGCGAAGGAGCATGTTTAAAAGGACGCGGGAATGAGTGTCGGGCGACGCCCGACTCCTGACCGGAAGCGCATTTCTCCGATGTTGGGGCCTGGCCCGACGCATGACGGCAAAGGGTTAAGAGCCATTTGGCGTGGTTTCAAAGCTGATGATGTCGGCTCGCTCCATGAGACAGTTAATGCTTTCGCATTAAAAATAAGTCCTGTAGTCATGAGCACCCCAACGTGAACAGCATGCATGCACCTCAAGGATGTCTGTTGTCTTACTTTTGTTCTCCCCCCTCCTCCTCCCCCAGATTCAATATGGCTTAGCAGTCGGTTCCGTTTCTCTCTTCCTCGTACTCAATGCTATCTTCCGCCCTTCATCTTATTTTTTCTTTCATTAATTTTCTTTTTGTAAGTTCTTTTCGTTTTCCTTTTTTGTTCGGTCTTGCTATCTAGTTTTGTTGTCTCATCTTATGAGTGTTGTTTGTGCGTGGTGTGTCAAGTCAACTGGCACAGTTGTTAAAAGGATTCTATTCACGCAATGCCCAATCAGTGCAGTGAAAATTCAGTATCTCGCTTATCTCAAAACTTTGCTGATCTCGATTTTTTTTTTTTTTCAGTTTTTATGACTTCGATTTTACGCGGTTTCACTGCAGTAGTCAAGGAGAGAAAAGAAAGTTGATCCTTGTCAATGTTTTCATTTTAAAAAGGTAGCAGTTTCAACCGGAGTTAATTATCGTACAATTTTGTGGTTTGGTTGCAGAGTGTGCAGCCAGATGCTGCATCTCCAACTCACGTAAGTGCATCGCCTTCCTATCTCTCGCTGCTAAGCATTTGCAAAGATCCAAAGCTTTCGAGTAGCGGTTGAAATAGCTTCTTAAGCAGCACAGATTTGGCCAAGCAATGGTTAATGGCTGGATATGGTCTTTTGGCCAATGGCCAAAGAGTGGCCATTCATTGGCGAATGCTTGGCCAATGGCTGATGGCCAGTGGCCATTGGCCAATGGCAAGAGAAAGGCCATTCATCGACCAATGGCTGGCCACTGTCTGGCCACTGGCCAAAGGGCCCTTTCCAGCCATTGGCCAATGATTGGCCAGATCTGTGCTAGGTGTTCAATTTGGCGTTCTGATCAAATAATAGTTGTGAGAGAAGAAACTTGCATTGCAAAATTTTAATTGCAAAACATTTTTTTGTTATTGTTTTTGCTATCATTTTGCAGATGGTGTTAGCCCCCGATGTAAAACAAGCCAATTGCCATTTTTCACGATTGCTCATAGGAAGTTCTGAAACTGACTTGCTCATATCTTCTTGAGATTGCTTTGAGCAAAAGTTCATCTCAAAACAAAGTATGCCTCGTTCTCACTTTCTGAGAAAGGTATCAGAAAAATACTTTTGGCTTTTCCACTGTGGTGAAGAAGGAAAACCAGCGGAGCTGTACAATAGAAAGTAATGGCCGGCTGCAAGTCGGCGAGCCAGAGTGGAAAGGCTGCCGCCATCTATGAGCGACGATGGCAACCAGATACGTGGCTTGCCGCCGTCGCTCATAGATGGCAGTAGGTGGCGGTAGCCCTTAACAGCTCCGCTGTAAAAAAGGGGCATGTTGGGATGCTTGCGCTCATTTTCAGTGGGAAAAAGGCCATGCACGAGAGAAGCTTGTGGTTTTCTAGGATTCTTAGGGTGCATAGGTTGAGTTTTTACGATAAAAAGACAATCTCGAAATTCACTTTAGCGTTGTTTTAAGGTAAACAATGTTTGACCTTTTGATTCCTAATTTTTTTCTGTGGTTTCCCTGTTAGGGCTTCAACCGTGTGGTGTTATACAGTCGACCGGTCTACTTCTGCCTCTGTTGCTCGCTGCTGGTCCTAGTTCAGTTTCTGAGCGTCTCCGAGGTCCAGTACCCCCAAGTCACGCTCTACGGCCTGCGCCTGTTCACCGACTCCGCAGTCACCTGGGCGAGGAGCTTTCTGATTGGTGAGCGTGCCCGCTGTTCATTCTTAAATGCATGGCAATCGTAGGGCCGGCCTTTAAGACCCGTTCACACATTTGCATTTGTTTAGGACCAAGTTCTTGCAATGTATTACGACGAGAAAAAACACTGTCACGCTGGCACCATTTACAAGACTATCCTTGCATTTCACTAAAGCGAAGGTTTTGCAGTATTTGCAAAATCAAGTGTACATAACATTGTCAAAAGATTTTCAAGCAGAATGATTCACGAAACAAATCGGAAAAAATTACGCTGAAATTTCCGCTGTCGCTACACTGATTCTTGACGAAACGTGTCGAGGGTAGTCCAAACCCGTCCGCAAAACATCGCCAGGAACGATCCGTGAGAGAGGAGTGACGTCTCCTGTGATTTCAACGGTGACTTTTTCCTGGTCCCGCTCGCTCAAAGTTGAAAACATTAATCTCTGCCAGGAGTTGGGGGAGCACAGAGGAGGCCTGATTTTTGCAGTAGCCAGTCGGGAGAAGGTAGTCCACCCTCCTTGTCTCCTTACCCCCCTCGCAAACCTTGTGCGGGAGCGGGGTGTGGTGTGGTGTGGGGTTTTCACTTCTCAGGGACCTTACAAAACTACAAAGGGATCCTTATGGCCTTCGTTGTGTTCTCCCCTTGAAGCCACTCGAAAATCCCATAGGGGAGCCTTTTCTCCCTCTTCCGCCCGTGGAGACTAATGTGCATTTTTCCCTTTGCCGCTCAATCCCTCCCCCCCCCTTTCTCTGCCTATCGCCGGTCCCGTTGCTATCTCTCTACCTTGTCCAGACGTTTTCGTACACATGCACCTGTTGCAACCTGCGAAAGTTATATAAAAAAAAAAAAAACGGGTTCAGTTTTACGGATTTGTCTGGACAATGTTTTGCAGACCAGTTTGGAATGCCCTTTAGCATATGTATGGCTGACCCGACTCGCCGGGAAAAGGGGAATTCAAACCTCTTAACAGTCCGCGTACCAGTGTCTTTGGAGAGACGGTCCGTTCTCCTCGATGTCAGCAGTTTCGGACAAATCCACCGCAGCTCCTCTCGATCACCGCCTACGGTTTGCATACTGTTGTCTACTAAGAGCCAATCTTTCCTCCTGGCTGTCGGCTGCTTTGTGCAAACAGCGGCATCGCTGCACCTCGGTTTTACGTCATATCGTACGTTGGGCATACTGGGGAAACAATACCACGTTCCTATGGCCCGGTGCCATCCTAAGAGGAGTGTGTTTCAACTGTAGCGCATCGTCGGGAGCATGTGAGGAGCCTCTTTCTTTTTTACATAAAAGGGAAGACGGACGTAACAAGTGAACAAACGGAGCTGAAAGAGCTCGGCAATAACTGCGCCATAGACTCACGAAGCCATTTCGTTGGTCGAAACTAAAAACAGATGTGTGCACCGGAGCGGTAAATGCAGACGCATTATTATACCGAAATGCCAAGCATTCCACAGCCACCCGACCGATGGCGCCACTGTGTGCCCTCGTCAAAAGAGATCTCAAGAGGTTTTAAGGCACTCGGTCGTAAGCGCTCACGAATGTGTGAACCAGCCTCGAGGACTTTCTGCATCTGCGGATATATCCGTTTCGAGGCTGCCAACCTCTTCATATGTTATTTATTTTCTTCTTCGTCCGTTCTCGTTTTACCTTTCTTTTTTTTTCCTTCCACAGTGTTTATTCTGGCATTCCCGCTGACCTTCAGCCTCGGACTGCTTCCTCAGATCAACACCTTCGTCATCTATCTGCTCGAACAAGTGGACATGAATCTCTTCGGGGGCTCAGGCAAGTTCATCACACTTTGGAGACCTTTCTCTGGGTCCTTTTTCAACACACGCAACACCTCGCACAATCGTTCCATCAAAGCACACATCTCCTCTCACATGTCTCCTACATCAGTTAAACTGAAAGCGAGGAACCCATTGCAAGCATTGTACAGCCCCCTGGCTGAAGGCAAATTTCCCTCAACGTGCCTTTGCACATCGCAGCACCTATCGCTGTCAATCGCAGCACACTTTGAGTGGTCATTTGCAATAATTTTGTTTTTCATGACATTTATGTTTCTTTTTTTTTTTTCATCTGTCTTTAGCTTTAGTTTTCTTTTTGGTGTGGATCCTTCAAAACATGTGCTTGCCTCCTAATTACAGTATAGACCACTTACAACGTAACCGCTTATAGTGCAGGACCGGGTATAATGCAGTTTTTTTAAACCACCGGTCCGCCTCCAATAGAACTCCATGTAATTACATACCGCTTAAAATGCAGGCGCACGAAGGGAAATACCGGTTATAGTATGGTTTTCGGAACAGCCCGACGACCGCGCCGACTGACCGACGCAGAGAACACGCTTCCCTGTGCGACACTAGATAACGGCACGAGCCACAAGCGGCACTCGCGGGGCAAAGAGGTTGCTCGAAGAAGCGGGGAGAAGCGAAGAGGGAGGCTTCAGTTGCCGTAGCGACGGAGGGACACAGGCACGTGTCGTACACTTGTGTGCATCCCTCCGCTGCGTTGGAAATGTTGGAAACAACCGCAACGACAAACCAATCGCAGGTCGAGGAGAAGTGTTCGCGCGCATTGCATGCCTGTCGCGGACCGGCCGGCCGGCTGCTTCTATCCGGAAACATGGCGTCGGTTTTGATCGTCAACGTAGACGGCGTGGTAGAAGCTCATCGTTCCACGTAAAAGCGCTATCCTTGACTGTGAATTTTCCTCGTGTGTCGTTTTGATAACCCAGCACGTACTAGAAGGGAAGATTCACCTACTCGTGCGGTGATGTTGTGGCGGCACTCTCAAGACGGCAGAAACGCCCGTGTCGTCGTGTTTGTTTACTTCGACTACAGTGGTGCTTTCTAAGCATTTGTGTTTTCGAACGTCGCCCGGATTTTTTATTTGGAGCATTTCATGCCTGTGCCCAAGTTGAAGCTATTACTGGCGCGTACCGTATAAAGGACGCGAATTTTCACGCGTTTCCATTGCCGGAGAAAAGTGATTAGGGTTAGAAATTCCGAACGCTCGCTATGTCCATCCGCAACCCGCGACGCCGTTAAAAGGCTGCACCAGGCAAAAGTCGCTCACTTCTTTCAAAATGTGTGACACACTTGAGAGAGAAGTGTACTAGTCTGGTGAAATAAAGACTTTCCTCAAACTAAGCTTTATTTTTCATCTAACGTAAAATAAATTCTTTTACAAAGGTAAGTTGTCTGATGGCATGTATTTTGGCTTGAAAAATTGATGTTTTGGTTATGCCGCGGTACCGCTTATAGTGCGGATTTTCTCGACTCTCGCGACATACTTTATATGCGGTCTACAGTGTACTGTAAACTACCCAATTAGGGTTCATCCAAGATCATAATTATGACAAAATTCGGGGGTAGGCACTTGCTCCAGTCTAAATTACTCCTGCAACCAATTCTGCAGTTTACAAAACACGATGCATCTGCATGCCCCTTTTTTGGCGGTAAAACGTCTCCGTAAAATATTGCAGAATTTACCGTCACGGATGCACTTTTTTTTTTTTCACACATTTAATTGTATGTGTGTGTGTGATTCTCTCTGTCCACAGCTACGACTGGTTTGGTCTCTGCGGTCTACTGCATCTCCAGGAGTCTGGCATTCGTGGTCTTCCTGTCTGGTGTTGCATATGTCGCTCTCAAGGTGTGATTGGAACATTGCTGTATATTTTATAGCCTCTTCAGTGGTGGTCAGATAGATTGGTGGGCATTTTAATGAACCGCATATATTAGACTCTGTAAGCCTTCAAGCTGTAACTATCACATGATTAACTTGCCCTAAAAAGTTGGTCCTACCTCAAAGAAGGGCAGCAATTTTTGTCGATATTCATACAATGTAAGCCTAGCTCCTGCGATAATTAAAAGAAGGCGATTGCTTTTCTACTGTTTTTTTTTTTTTATTATGGCAGAGATAGACCATTGTTGAAGTTTTTAATAAAATGCAGGAGCCTCGTAAGGGAAAAAATAAATTGCTTATAGTAGTTGCTATTCCGTGTATTCAGAGTTAATTTTTCGTTAAATTTTTCAGAGTTTATTTCTTGCTGGAAATTCTGAGTTTATCGGAGTTTATTTTTGTTTAATTCCAAATTTTCCGAAATTCGAAGCTTAATTTTGTAGTTTTCGCCATTTTTCAAAAATAAAATTTAAATGAATAATATCTCGTTGTAAACGTTTTCTAGATTCCAAAGAGCGCACTTGTATCAATTATTATTTCTTCAGCTGGATTTGGCATTGGTGCCATTGCCATTGGCAATACTAACTTGTCCTACGATGAAAGTTGCACAGGAGTGTAGGAGTGTTGCTTCGATAAACGTCGATAGCTTAAGGGGGGACACTGGCTAGAGGTCGAACTTCTGAACTACTCACGTGATCGGAATGAAATTTGCAGTGGAGATTAAACTTTAGATGTAAGTGTACCGTGCAAACTTTCAGCTCTATAGGACAAATTTTCATACCTACATATATGTTGATGTGTCACTCTTTGTTAAGAAATCTATGATATGCAAATGAAGCTATTAAGCACCATTTTGGCTGCTTGAGTATAAAGTGGAGGATGTGGGACTTTGGGCTATCTAGTTTTAATAACTCAAATGTAAATATTTCAGGAAGAGTTATTACCTCAAAATATGAGATGCATATCTGTCCTCTGTCAATTTTTGAAAACTTGGTTTTTTTTATCACTGAGGACTTCATCTTAAAACAAATTAAAGTAGATAGCCCGATTCCCCAGTAAATTTCAGTTTAGAAACATGTTGACTGTGGTATCAGAATACTTTCCCCTTCGAACAAAATATTCCTTCGTGTGAAATTTGCAGCAAAAAGTGGAACTGAGAAAAATGCATTCAAACATAGAACTCTTTTACTTTGTTACTGCCTCACAATGTGGTGAAAATATTTTATATCGACGTAACTATTGGACGTATGACTATCGGATTTAGTGTAAGGGTGTAAAATTGGTTTCTAAAACCAAAAACCTCAAAATTGAAAAAAGAATTAAAAAGAAAAGTTTAAAATTTAGGTTTCTGTCCCCCCTTAAAATCAATAAACTCCTGGAGCTAGTGGCTGGAGAGCTCGTATTCATCCCATCCTACCCCTCAGCACTATACACCGGGAATCTGTAGGGTACAGTATCTCGTAAAGGATGTACTAATAGCTTCAACTGCCCACCCCCTCTTCCCTTTTCTTTGAAACCGCTAGGGATCATAGCTTTCAATGTTCAGGAAACACAACCCCTCCTTTTTCTAAGAAGCATAAATAATATGGCACAAACTGGAAACCGGAACAGTGGTTTCTGTCATGACCCACAAGTTCAATGACCTGTTGTCCTGGGGGTGGGCTATGCAAGACGGTGGGACGAGGCGGGATGAACAGACCGGGACACAGCAGCAGGCGGCGATGTCCCGTTTCTTTCGTCCCACTGTCTTGCATAGCCCCCCTGATCGAACTTTGACGAGAAAAGCAGCAGATTCCTTTTGTCAATGGTGCGAGATTTGAAGAAAACTGGGGTGGCCTTTTCTCATGACCATTGACCCTGTGCGCTCACCAAACTAAATTAAAATAATATTGTCATTTTTTTTTTGGCATTGATACATTGAAATTTGAAGTTTATTGGATAAATCCAAATTGACGAGAATTTTATCGGCGGAGTTTTTTCCGAGTTTTTCGGATTTATCCGAAAACATGGAACTCTACTTACGGTCTATGGCATTTCTCTAATATTACCTTTGGGCCACCACACAGATTGGATCAATTGTGAGTAAACAGCGTAGCTTGAAAATAGGAGCTCCTTTTTTTCTTTCTCCTCACGTAAAATCGTCCTTCAAATTTTGGACTGGGCATTACTCCCCTCTAGTCATCCACATCCCTAGTGAATTGCAATTGGATGCCTTACGTGGCTAGTTTTATGCAGACCATTCATAGGTCTAACAATAGAGGGGCTAGGTACAGAGGCGGCAGAAGTTTCAAAAGCTACAAATTATTTTTAAACCTCTCCAAATTCGAGAACTTTGTTTCGGCAAGGTTGGAATGCAATGTTAATTTTCGCACGGTGTGTGGAACATCAGCACAAATGCAAGATTGATCGCCTTCGACATCGACTGACGGTTTTGGGCTTGAGGTGCGTTTCTCTAGTGTGGTATGGAATCGAGTTCTTTCCCAACGGCCTTAGACTTGTCTAAACCGAGAGATGCGTGTCTCCCTACAGGAGGGGCACATTCCGTCGCAGCACATCATGTTCTCGCTTTTTTGTGGCTTGCTGGTGAGCTCGTGCTACCTCCTCAGCAGGAGTGCCAGCGACCCCACCATTCTCTGGTGAGCTGAATCGGGGTTGGCTCATTTCTATCTTTGGTCTCTTTGTTCTGATTCTTAAGACCAGCCTGGAGAGCTGCCGTAGGAGCTTGTCTCAGAGCAGTGTACTGTGCCGCCCTCTTGTAACATGTCCACCTTCAACAAACTTTTAGCATAGTAGTGAACATATATGGAGCTACCAAATTTTAAGCAAGGCTACATGTAAATTCAAATTTACCTTTTTGCAAAAAACATTTCAATGAAAACTATCTTTAAGGAAGGCTTATCATGTGTAAATTGAATTTTGCTTGTGACGAGCCTTTGTTTTAACAAACACATATGAAGGAAACAAAATGTTTAGAGCGAGGGTTATCATGTGCAAATGCTAGTTCACTCTTAACAAGCTTCCATCCTAGCAAACACATATGAAGGGAACAACAAATTTTGAGCAAGGCTCATCACGTGGAAATGCTATTTTACTTATAACTAGGTTTCCGCGTTTTTGAAGTTTATTTTTTGTGAAATTCAGAGGGTGTTTTTCGGAGTTTATTTTTGCTGGAAATTCGGGGTTCTTTGAAGTTTATTTTTGTTTGATTCCCAGGTCTCTCAAATTTAGAGTTAAACTCTGCTTTCGTGCGAATTTTTCAAAATTCAAAATAATTTCTAGACAAAAACATAAGTTGATAAAAGTTAGTACTCCCAATCGCCCTTGCTATTCGGATTGCTAATTGTCCTACGACAAATCTTGCATGCAAGTGTTGCTTCAATAAACATCAGTACTTGGAAATAGCCAAACTCCTTAATGTAATCATTGGGAAGCATGAAAGCTCCAGCTACCCTTTACTAAAATCTACATTTTTGTTTACTGTTATAGAAACAACAGAAACACAACTCTTCTTCTATCTAAGAAGCACAAATAGTATGGTCCAAACTGGAAACCGGAACAGTGACTTTTGTCGTGGCTCAGAAGTGCATTGACCCATTGTACTGTACAAACTTTGACGAAATAAACGAAAAACTCCATTTTGTCATAGACCCAAGATGAAAAAAAAAAAATGAACTGGCCTTTTTTCAGGATAGCTAACTGTGTGCTCGACAAACTATATTCGTACGATACTGTCATTTTTGCTTTTTGTTTTACCATTGTGACCTCGAAATTCAGTTTTACGGATAAATCTAAATCGATGAAAACTTTACCGGTGATTGTTTTTCTGAGTTTTTTCGGTTTTATCCGAATACACGGAACTTTACTTATAGCATACTCCTCGTGTAACTAACACATTACTAAGCTTTTAGAGCTTGTTATAAGTGGCTGGCTCTGTTGTAGCTTAAAACAAATAATAATATTAATAAGAAGAAGAAATTTTATTCAGATCATAAACATGTTACATATGCAGGCACGCGAAAGCACTGGTGTGCTTGTATGCAGGACCTGGCGTCCAGCGGGCTGCTACACTGAAATCCTCTTATTGTGTGCATTACTGGCACACAAAGAAAAATAAAAAATCGGATAAAATAAACATTAGACTTGAACGAGGAGCCAGGTACGATCAGCGACAGAAGAAAACTAGAATAGTACATCCTCACCGTTCACGTGGGTTGTAGCTCAGCGGTATAGAGCACCACCTCTTCTTAGTAAAAGATGACGGTTGCACCTCTTAAGGCTGTTTGACACACCTGCATTTGCCTATGACGAAGTTCTTACAATCTCTTATGACGAGAGAGCACGCTGGCGCCATCTATGAGGTGACCCTGCAACTGTATTTCAATAAAGCGCAGGTTTTGCAATATTTGCGAGATCAAATTTATATGCTATATATGAGGTTGTTCGTAGCATTGTCAAAAGCTTTTCAGGCCAATTAAGAAAGAATGATGCGTGAAAAATATAGGGATATACGGAAATTACAAGTATTCCATGGCTACCCGAGAGAGAGAGAGAGAGAAAAGTGTTGAAAGGAAAGGAAGCCTGGAATAATGGCTACCCGAAAGCTGGCCCCAGTCTGTTTTGTCGTCGTGAGAGATTACCAGGGCGCCCTGTTGTAAGCATGTGTGGGAACCAGCCTTTACTCCAATATCTTGGTGGCTGCTTGGCACGACACTGGAATGACATAGCGACATTGACTTTTGTCGGCAGGAACCTGGTGAAACGACAGATCTGGGCAGAGAAAGTCCCCAAGGGGGCCACTGAAGTGGGGGCCACAGAACACGTTGACCCCTTGCCGGCAAAGCTGGAGAAGACCTTTGTGAGTGACCTTTCTTTCACCGCTAGGAAACGTTGAGATGTCCGTCAGAGGGCTGCAGGGGCATAGGCAGAGGGGGGCTCAAGCAAGCACACACATGCCAAATGATCCATCCCCCCCCAACCCCCACCCCCGCCACTCCTCTCCCTCCCCCACGTCATGAATCCCCACCTCTTCTCAAAAAAAGTTTTGTCCACTCATGTAGAAACAATAATGCAAATATGTCGCCCACATGGTCTTGCTCTTACTAGTAGTCCTTTAGGTTTCTACTGTTTGATTTGTTATTGATGGATGTGTGTTTTTGTTTTGGTGACTGATTGATTTGATTGATTATTGATTCATGTGTGTTTTTGTTTTGGTGACTGATTGATTTGATTGATTATTGATTCATGTGTGTTTTTGTTCTGCTAAACTTTCTATGGTTTTTGCCTCAATTTTGATTTTCTCCAAATGTTGTTTTTTACATTCGAGGTTTTTGTACAAGCGAGGTATTTGAATAAATAAATAAATAAATAAATAATCGATGTATGGTATTGATAATAATCCCTGGAAAAGGGAAACAAGGGGGACAAAGAACAAGCACAAATCTTCAAACACAGCTAGGTGACTGGTGCGCGACTTTTTTCAGTCGCACACTAGTCACCTAGTTGTGTTTGGAGATTTGTGTTTGTCCTTTGGTGTCCTTGTTTTCCTCCTCCAGGAAATATTATTGTTATAATCCAGCTTGTCCAGCTTGCTTGAACCTTTGCATTATATATATATATATCTTTTTTTTTTTTTTTTTTTGTAAACATTACCGTGCTCTTAATTCTCAATTTCTGCTGCTGCTGATTTCAGAGGGCAAGACTGAGGACGGACGCCATTCACTGCGTCTTCATCGCTGTCCTAGCGTTTGCAGTCCATGTCAGCACCATGTTTTCTGCGTTGCAGGTAGGAAAAAGTCACGTTAAGGCTTTCGTTTTGCTAAGACCTAAATTAGGGCCAGGTAATTTATTTAATACCTAGATCAGGGGTTCTCAAACTTTTTCGTCCCTGGGAATCCCAGCAAGCCTCAAAAAGTCCCATGGAACCCCCCCTGTTGCCAACTGATCACACTGGGCAAAAACAGGCTCAAGGTACGCCTAAGCACTTCTTATGAGTTGTGAATGCGAAAGCATGCACGTCATTCTTCTGCCCCCTTATTTCGTCTGCTGCATATTTTTCATCGCCGGTCAGCACGCGCGTGCTCCTCGGCGCGCTGACCTTGGATGCTCCATGTTAACGGCGTACTGCCGGACACGCAGCGCCGTGGGGTAAGCGGTCGTTGAAACTGACGCTCAGCGGCCAATGGGAGCCTCGTCAACGCGTGCCAGCCAATGGGACTGAAGCCGAAAATCCATCAGCTTTACTCCGCTCCTTTGGAATGGGGGAAACTACCGTGCCTTTGTCTAGACTTTTCGCATGGCTTCATAGCTGGGAGCTGGCTTCACTTGGAGAAAGGATCTAAGGTGCCGTTTTTGCACTTCAAACTGATGACACTGGCTCGCTCCATGGGGCAGTTAATGCTTTCTCAATAATAAAGGTATTGATAGTCAACAAGAGCACTTTCAGAAGAAGACAAGATGGAGTATTACAGAAAGAATAAGACAGCAGAAGGGTTAACCTGGGGCACAATGTAAAATATATATACATATTAGTGCGAAGGGTGAGGTTGCCTTGTCCGCGACGCCTACTCAGACTGTGGAAAGTTAATCGAGGGGGGGGAGCACTGCGATTTGGGTGCCCGCAGAACTCATCAGACCAGCTCGCGGAACCCCTGTGTTTTGCAGAACCCAGTTTGAGAACCCCTGATTCGGATTAATGTGCAAATCACAATTAAGTTTTTAACTGATTAATAACCAGGTTTTGAGCTGGGAAAAGTTGGGTGCGCTTTTATTAATTTTTGGAGGTGGCACCTTTGTCTCCTATGATAAACCACTTTAGCATTTCATGTATTGTTGTCCAGCATGATTATGAGACCTACATAATTTATTAGAAGACATTTTGGGCAAGTTGGTAGGAGTTGATAGTGAAAAACAGTGCGACTGGGAAAAGGACAATGAAGAGAGATACACTGGACAAGCACTGACTAGCAGCTGAACTTTTCATTTTTCTGTTCCAATAACATTTTAGTTGCTAGTCGGCGCTTGTCCAGTGTACCTCTCTTCTTGGTCCTCGTCCCAGTCGTGCTGTTTTTCGCCATGAACCTAAATAATAATTGATAATTCTATTCTTCAAAATGTTTTCCAGATTTTATTTTTTGTGGCATAATGTGCAGTTTTCAATGAGACTGCACTATGCTGGTTATGTTTATAAAAGTTCAAAAGCAAAAATCTAGTGTTGGTTTCCTTTTAGGCATGATGTTTGGAGTTCAACTCAACTGACTAATCAGTTAATTAATTTCTACCTTCCAACCGGTGGCATTCACATTACCCGAAAAATGGACTGTACCCCTACCTGTGGTTGTGCCACGTTTGGTGAGCCCTGGTGTGCCCCCTGCTGTGCAGCCGTACCTGGAGGTGGTGCTCCACCTGACAGCCATGGGCTGGGGCCTAGTGCTGCACTACTGCATGCCGCAGCTTCGCAAGCAGCTGCCCTGGCTGTGCTGCTCCCACCCCATCCTCAAGTCCAACGAGCACCAGCAGTTTGAAGTCAGGGGTCAGTCGGAGCACCCTCATTTGCAACTCTGGTGCCTGGGGGTGGTCCCTGGGTAGCGAGTGCCCGTCAGCCGTTTAAACGGAGAATGTGTCATTCTACGTTGTTTTTAGGGGCGAAGCTCCTTAGGGGCTAGCCATATCCGTATGTCCGTCCGCCGTCGGGTGCACGTGCATCCGTGCTCATGGAGGAAAAAAAAAACAACCGCATCTCCACGTGGTGAATGATGTTGATTGGGGCAAAGCTCTGGTGGTGCTTGTCTGCTTAGACGGTGAGCCGCAGCATGCCGAGCCTTTCATTCGTTTTCATCGAGAATGTGTGGTATGGGAACGTGGTTATATACGCATTTGAGCATTTGACCACAGCGTGACATGGATGAAAACGAACGAAAGGCTCGGCATGCTGCGGCTCACCGTCTACGCAGACAAGCACCACCAGAGCTTCGCCCCAATCAACATCATTCACCACGTGGAGATGCAGTTGCTTTTGGTTTTCTCTGAGGCTTTACAGATTGTTTTTTTAGAAAGGATGAGAAAGCTATACTAATGCAATCTGTGGAGGTGAGTTATATATGGCCAGGGGGACTTTGTATGGGGGGCTAATTGTCAGGGTAAGTAGAATAAGTAACTACAATTTGTAAATAAACTTTTTAATTAGTGGAAATATAGATGGTTTCAAATAGAAACTAACTGGCTGAGCCTTGTCGAAAACCACTAAATAAGTGAATTTTAAAATGATTTGGAGCGCATGGGGAGTGTGGTGTTGCGCTAAAGTTACTGCGCGTGCAACAAGCTCTAGGTTGGCGCTGCAAAAACCAGGATGAGAAGCGCACGGTGGTGTTATCCCCTACTTTTTCGTACCTCCAGCATTTCAGCTGTTTCGGCAGTGGAAGCTTTAGTGCACCACCGCACTGCTCACATGCTCCGAATCTTTCTCAAATTGACTGATTTAGTGGTTTTTGATGATGCCCAGCAAGTTTCTGATAAAAACCATATGTTTCTTTTCCTCAATAAAAAGTCAATTAATAAATTATAGGTAATTATTTGACTTATCGTGACAATTAGCCCCCCCGTATTATGTCCCCCTGGACGCATAACTCGCCTGCACAAACTGAGTTACTGTAGCTTTTGTGGCTTTTTTTTAAACATATCTGTGAATCCGAAAAAAACACCCTGCACATATGGCTCCTGCATGTTTCCGACAGTGCACTCTTGTAATGATAAAGCATCACACGAGTGCTGTGTGAGCCTTCGGTCCGAGCTCGTGTCCTCACTGCGCATGTCAGGAATTATAGCAAGAGGACATATTTGACTCTCGTTGAGTAAACAGCAAAATTATGAGCGACAGGTGACACGGGGAGGGAAAGTCCTTCTGCTGGGTTCTATGTTTATTTTCGTTTATGAGAGATAGATGCCTTGTATGTGATCCATTTCTTGGAATGTGCTTGAGCTGACTGAACAAAATTAAAGGTTAAAAGAATCTTTCTTCTCCAAAAGTGAGTTCAAAATTCCAAAATTAAATCTTAAATTAAATAAAATTAATTCTTTAAAGGATGTCAATCTGTGTATGTTCTCGTTTAGCAGACATCTTTTACCTTCCAGCACCGACATACCGACATAAGTAGGCTCGCGATAATTCAAACTTGGACATTTTGTACTTCTGGTTAACTTAAACAAATTTCAAAACTTTGGTTGTCTCTCTATGTTTTTATTTATGTGTTCATAAGCCGCTTAAATTCAAACGGAGTTTTCGTGCAATTCATTCTTTTGGTTCTCGCGGCCGCGTTGAGTGCGCTTCTTTCTGAACACCAGTACACTGCAGAGAAGCAACACCCGCAGAGCTTGCTTCTGCGGGTGTTGCTTCTCCGCAGTACACCGGTGCTCGGTGAGAAGGGCACTTAACGGGGCTCAAGCAAAAGTTATCGGGGTTGTAGGAATATTTATACAGCGTGTAGCTGGTCAGCCATTTCAAAGATGCGACGGTTCAGTCATTGTAGATGAGCAATTTAGCCAGTGTAGGGCAACCGCTAGCCTGGGGTCTTTAACGTGCAGCACGCAGTAGTGATACATGACTGCACGCCGGTACAATGATCATCAGATCAAAACGGGCAGGGGTGGGGATTGAACCCAGGATCCCTGGGTTCTGCAGCACGAGCTTTCGCTCCACATGCTGTGAGATGGTGTGCGCAACACCACTCGGCCACCGATGCCCCCTGGGGCTCAGGCAGGGCCCACACGAGCTATGAAAACGGGCACCACACGGAGATTTTTGTAGCAACTTGCGCAGACGCTGTGACGTGGCAGCATGGCATAGGTCCACGTCACAGTTTCCGCGCAAGTTGCTATGAAAACTGCCGTGCGATGCACGTTTTCATCACTCATGTGTCCCCTTCCTTATAGTCCACACTAGACAACTTCTTGGCCCGATGTACAAACTTAATTTTGTTTTGAGCTTTGACGTGCTGTCTAAGCAGTCCACGATGAACAAATTTTTGAGAGATAATTAAACTTATGTCCTACATTTTGCAAATGTTTTGTGTGTGGCACACCTGCTTATGATCTGTAGGCCTATGTAGAGGTAATCATCAAATATCTGCTTCCTATGTGTAGCCATTCATATGGCAAATCATAATTTTATCCTGCATCGTATTTAGATGAATTTTTTATAATTCACAACTTCTGATAATAAAAACAAAGTTTGTGGCTTCCTGGAGTTTGAATTAGTGAGAGTCTACTGTACTTGCAAAATGTTCTAGTTGTGTTTTGTTGGAATCTTTTTTTTTTGTCAGAGCCTGCCAAGGTGATGTGGTTTGAGAAGGTGCAGGTCTGGATGTGGTTTGTGGAAAAGAACTTCATCTACCCACTCCTGTTCCTGAGTGCTCTCAGCGTGAGCACGCCGGACGTCATCCAGCGCTTCGGAGTCGCGTGAGTATCCTCAGTATAATCGGGGGAGTTTTGTAGCTTCCTAATTTATATATACCTAAGTGTTCTTGTTTTCACACATATAAAAAAACGAAAACCTCCGAAGAAGACCTTTCAGCAAATTATTTGTCAGTTCCGATGTAGCCAAAAAAATACTCACAATCGATGCCTCAATTTCCACAAAAAAAAACAACAACATGAAGGCAGCTTACAGGTATATGACTGAGATTTTTAGCGGCGTTCTGTCAAGTGTGATTGTATCGGCTATACGAGCTTCAGCCTGTTCCTTGTGGCGTTGTTATATTTCATAGTGCAGTGTTTTTTTTAATATAAATGCTCATATTTTGTCATTCTTATTCTTTTCTTGTCCAGTACATTTAATATACATGTTTTTTTTATTCGTCACTATGCATTTATTGTGAAATACTTTCTCTGACTGTCGGACAGTTTGGAATGCGTTGGAGACGGCAGTCAGAAAACTTGGATAATGGAACTGACTAACAAACTCAAGCACACCTTCTGAATTTGTTTGGAAATAAACCTTGTTATCTCGTACCCCACGTATGTGGAATTCACTCATTCCTTTTACTTGAAGCAATAATTAAATATCTAGCATAACGAACGATACCTCGGTCTTCAACCGAATTGCGTTTGCTGTGACGTGACAGGTGATGCTCGACAATTGCATGTTTCGTTTTACCACAGAATGTGCATATATGCTTGTTTTCTATGAGAAGATCATTGCATTCCATTGTCAGATTGTAGTGTCCGATTTCAGCGTCAGATTACGGTGCCAGATTCCAGCATCAAATTTCATTGTCATATTTTTCACATGTAGACCATGCCTATGTAGCCCATAGGGACGTCATGATGTCGCGGTGTTACAATACATCCTGAAGTCACGTGACCTACTGACCTCAGGTGATGTCACACACACAGCATGTGCCCAGCTCAATTGAGGCACATTGTGTGCGTCTCTGAGCTTATCGGGTATGATGAAGACGTTGGGATATCTTTCTTGGTGCAGGGGCGGCTGCGTGGTGCTGGTGGTGTGCAGCATGAAGTGCCTGCGCAGCGCCTTCAACGACCCCTCGCAGCACTTCCTGGTGCTTCTGTTTGCGAGCCTGTTCTTCCGCTACGACTACAGGGGACCCAAGGAGCCGTTCCTCGTCAACTACTTCTGCTGCCTCTTTGTCTTCTCAAAGGTAGTCTCGGTTCTTGCCACATGCCAACTTCCATTTGCCGATTTGCTTCCACCTCTTGTCTGCACTTCTGTATTCGGTTATGTTAGTTTGAAATTGAGAAGAAAATAAAGTGATGTAAATTGTTTCATTGTGCATCATGACGTTGCCCATTGTTTTTGATAAAATAATTTTGCTTGATGAAGTGAACAGTCTGAAGATGAGGGTAAAGAACAGTACTGTGCAGACTGAAACAAACTCTTCAAGGACAACTCTGGCAATGTTTTTCAGTTTTGTCCTTGGTCTCCTGTTCCAATCTCTAGTTTTTAAAAACATGCGTTATAAGTTTGGAAGAACAGAATGTGCAACCGTTTACCATTTATTGACGAAGAAGGGTAAAATTGTGGCAGTGTTTTGTCACGCGATTAGCTCTACCTTGACATTAATTTTTTTTTTGCAGGTTTATGAGCTGTTGCTGAAGATGAGCTTCATCATCACCTACATTGCACCGTGGCAGATCACCTGGGGCTCTGCCTTCCACGCATTTGCCCAGCCGTTCAGTGTGCCTCGTATCCTTATCTAGCGCTTCTAGTTACGTCTGAACCAAAGAGCGGTTTCTGAAGGACCATCTTGAATATTGAAAGGTCATTTACCAACAGTGGAGTAACCATTATACAGGGTCAGTCCCAGTTTCTCTCATGATACATCCCTCCAGCTTGAAATCTATTGAGAAGCCATGCTGGGAAATCATCCACGCACAAAACTTTCCATGTCCGAAATCTAACATCTGTTCTCTGTTACAAGAGGAAGCACACAATCAATATTTGTTAAGAGTGTAAAAACTTTGACTTTTGGATACCAGGTTCCTTGACCATTAGACTCCAGATTCAGCCATGTTGTTTGTGCAGGCCATTATATCGGCCATTCTGTCGACGCCGCTCAGTCCCGTGCTGGGAAGCGCCATTTTCTTCACATCTTACGTGAGGCCCGTCAAGTTTTGGGAAAGAGACTACAAGTGAGTGCCTGCCTTTTTTTGCCGGGGACAGACATCCATTAAATAGGATCCGCTACAAGTTACAGTTGTTAGAGTCTTATGAAAAGGCAAAAAAAAACAGTACATACAACTGAGTTGCAGAAAACCTGTCTACTATGCAAGATGTGTTTGCAGTGATGTGATTGATGCGCCAATTGCGCCAAACTGCGCCAAGGGGCTAACCCTGCTACATCCTGCTACATTTCACAGAGATATGGCTAATCTGCGCCAAGCCAAAGGAGCAATCTTGGTCACCTTTTAAAAACGAAACTAAGAGCCGTAATTGAGCATGCATGAGCTAGGTGGCACAAGACGCCTCCCGACACAAAGTACCCTGCATCAATTGTCTATTCGGTCTTGCATGATTTTTCCCGTCCTGCGTTTCGCGCTCTCATTGTCTCGGAAATCTCGTCTCGCGCCTTTTTCTTTTTTTTCTTTTTTTCTAGCGATAGACGTGTGCGTGTGCGGACGCCCCGACGTTAGTGTGCCGGGTTCCAGCCATGCCGTCATGCTGTGAAACAAAACCACGTTTTTGCGTGGCGAGAGTTACTTTGTGAGCTGAAGCGCTCGCGCGACCACAGTCGCCGTGGTCGCGCGACGTCGTGTGTTGCCGTCCCCACGTCGTTGCAGATATGGCGCTTTCTAAACTGAAACGCATCGACATTCCTGCTCTTGTTTAAATCATACGCTGCTATAAAAATCCCTCTTTAACTCAATTAATGCTTGGCGAAGTTTTGATTACCTAGGTTTCTCTCGGTGAGCTTTCTTTCGAGAGGGACCCCGGTACGTGAAAAATCCGCGGCGAAAGAAAGTTGATGACGAGAAGTGAGCTAAAGCAACGAAGGCAATGTCTGCACGCTGAACCCACACAGCGCGCTTGTTTGTCTCGAGTTCAGTTGTTGCACAAAGCGCTCCAAAAGCTTTTTGACCTTGATTCGTAATGTCTTGCATCAATACTCTCAGGTTCTTTTTTTCCTGTGTGTTTAGCCTGTACCTCGCCTGCCGGCCTGGCAAGCACGCGCCGCTGGTCTTTTTATTGTCGTATGCTGGACAGTTACATTTTGCATACTATTTTGGGAACCAGTTGGTAGCATGGTTTCGGTTTCGGTCGAACAGCCGTTGTCTCCGCTCGCGCGGCGAATCACGTGGAACTGCAAGCCTGCCGAAGTTGCCCTCACGTGCATGTGAACATGATTGCACGAGAGGCACCAGCCGGGATGCTTGCAATTCATTGTTTTAGGTTTGCTTACTTTTTATAAAAATCTGCCACGTCGGGAACCAGTAAAACGATAGCAAGTGTTGTTGTTTTTTTTTTGGAATTTTTCGGCAACACTTGCAGCTTTGTATACTTGTGGGATGTCTCAGCACCACAAACACAAGCAGCGAGTTCCGCCCCAACACGTCACATCACAACACAACACAAGTGGCCTTCGTTTGTCCAGCCCTTAAAACAAATATTAATTTTTCTAAGGATATATCCTCCAAACGTCACTTTTTCTGCTCTGAAACACTGTTTTGGCTGCTCCAAAAGCCACTTTTGCTGCTCCAAAACACTGTCTTGGCTGCTCCAAAGTCCACATTTGCTGCTCCAAAACACTGTTTTGGTTGCTCTAAAAGGTGCTCCAAAATGGCTTAGGCCAATCACATCACTGTGTTTGGTATACTGGCAACATGTCATAGTAAGTGGACTCATGCCAGAATGTGGTCAAATATATATTGAATTTGCTAGCTTTTTTATTATGTTTATTGTAGTAAAATCCTTTCACCGAGTCTATCATACATAAGTCGCACTGTATTTTTTAACCGTTCACAAGCATGGCGGTTTTGAACAACACTTTATGCTCTCAACTTTACTAGTTGAGAAGCACAACCTGTGCATTAGAAAATATTAAAAGTTGCTTTGTGTGACTTTTGTGCACTTGTAATGTGTGTCATAATTAAGGTTCTGTCTTTTGGAATGAATTCGAAAAACTCGGGGAAAACGCTCGCCGATAAAATTTTCGTCAATTCGAATTTATCCAAAAAGCTCCGCGATTTTGAGGTCACAATGGTAACATAAAAAGCAAAAAGGATGGTGTTTTACGAATGAATATTGTGAGAGCACGGGGTCGGTGATCCTGAGGAGTGGCCAGATTCCTTTTTAAAATATCTGACTAGTACTGATAAAAGGGTTTACTGTTTATCTTGTCAAAGTTTGTTCGGAGCAACGGGTCATTGTACTTCTGGGTCACGACAAAAGCCACTGTTCCAGTTTCCAGTTTGGAGCATACTATTTCCGCTTCTTAGAGGCCAGAAAGGTTGTTTTGTTAGGACGGTGAAAGCAATAAACCTTGAGAATTCATAGTAGAGGGCAGGACTGCTGTAGCTTCCATGCTTTCTACTGATGTGCACCGGTAAAGTATTGGCGTTAATTGAAGCAATATCTTTGTCAATATTTGTTGCGGGAAAGTTAGTATTGCCAATGGCAAGTATGCCAATGCCAAATGCAGCCGCAGAAGTATCTTCGATACAGGCGGGTTTTTACGAATTAAGGGTATGTTTGTGTCAGGATGCACTTTATTTTGTATTGTTAATGAAAAAAAAAATGAAAACAGTAAAATTAATCTCGGAATTTCAGAGAATTGAGAGTCGAAATAAAAAAGGCTTGAGGTACACCGAAGCATTTCTTATGAGTTGTGAATGCAAAAGCATGCACATCATTCTTCCGCTTCCTTATTTCGTCTGCAGCGTATTTGCGTTGATAGCAGAGCGCGCCCTCTCATTGCTGCTCTGACCTTGGACGTTTCGTGTTAGCGGCGCGCTGACAGACACGCAGTGCCATGGAGGGGCGGTCGTTAAAACTGCCGCGCAGCGGCCAATGGGAGCCTCGTCGACGTGCGCCTCCCAATGGGACCAAAGCCAAAATCCATCAGCTTTACTCCGTTTTTTGGGGATCGGGGAAACTAGGTTCCGTTTGGCTAGGCATTTCGCGTGCTTTCATAGCTGGGAGCTGGCTTCACTTGGAGAAAGGATTTAAGGTGCCATTTGGCGCGGCTTCAATGCTGGTGACGCCGGCTCGCTCCGTGGGACAGTTAATTAATGCTTTTGCATTAAAGAAACTTCAATGAAGCCTGTGTTTTCCGCGAAAAATAAACTTTAAAAAACATGCTCCAAATTTCACGAAAAATTAACTTTGAAAACAGGGAATCCTAGTCCTAATTTACCTGTTTGGAATTGGCACATTAATGTAGACATGATAGGTTGCAACTCAAGTTTGAAGCCTGTCTTACAAATTAAAGCTTTTGCTGCGCTCCTTTTTTTTCTACTTTGTCGCAGCTACTTATCAGGAATAATTCTTCTATTGTAGCGATGAAACAATTGTAGATGAACAATAGATAGCTTGAAGGATTTCATTCACCAGTTTTTCCTCAATGGTTTGTTTCAGCACCAAGCGGGTGGACCATTCCAACACTAGGCTATCTTCCCAACTTGAACGGAATCCAGGTAAGGAGATTTGTCCAGTGGTTTAAGTAGTCAGTTCATATCTGTTGTGTCGAGAATATGGAGACGACATTAGTGGTTTACTTGGACAGGAATTGGTACTAATCATCAACCAACTTGATCTCCCAAGCTTGCGTATACAAGAGCCATGTGCAGTAGTACTGCAAGTTCTGTGCAGCTCCCAAAGAAAGAACCCTTTCTTTTCTCCTGTACTGGTCAAGATTTCTATTAGCAAATGGTTTTCGAGATTATTACATGAGCAAAAAATTGAGAGCCCTTCCACCCCGTGAAGGGAAGCCTGGCGCTCTGGTAGAGACAATGACATTTTATTATTGTGCGGCTACACCAATCACGGCGCAGGCTCTGGTGCGCTGCACAGGTGGCCGCCGAAAAGCGTGCGGCATTGCGCTATGTCGGAGGAGAGAGGGACGCCGTGCGTGGCGAGGAGTATAGACGACTCAGGAAAGGGCAGTGGAGAGGAGTATAAAGTTGGGCATACATCTTTCCATTTGAAAATTGTTGGTCCTTGCTCGGTGTGTCGCCGGAGACGATCCGCCAGAACCTAGCCGTAGACAGCTTCGCTGTAAAAGAAAGTGGCAAAAGGAAATGCATTAAAACAGCAGTTTTAAGTTAGTGCTAGCCCCGTCCGCGTGTTCATGCCCTTGTCTGTCTTTCGTGCTATTTATTGTCCATAATTCTACCATTACTGTGATAGTTCAGGCTTTCATGCCTGTTATAGTAATCAATCAGTCTCTGTTGATAGCAATTAAAATGGTTTGCTAGACCCAAGAATTAAATTTGGGTCATGAAACTCTCTTTGCTCACTAGGAGTTTTATTATATTTACCTAACAACCGTAGTATTATGATTATCACCGACAGTTGCAGCTCTCACAACTGTCATAATAATCAATAAATTTTAATTTCTTGAAAGATTGTAGCAGTTTTTTTTTATAGTTCTAAGTTATCAATGATTGATTTGTTGAGTCTTTCTTCCAGTAACATAGTTTTTTTTTTAAAGAAACATAGTCTTACAAGTTAACAAAACAACATTAGCAAATACCACACACTTTCCAGACTGCCATCTTTTTTTTTTCTTCTCTCTTCGCCTCAGTGTTGCCTGACCCCTTTTCTTCCTTCATTAACGATTGTTCTCACAGTCTAGTTCACAAAAATTCTGTGGACACCTAAGTACTTCTTATGAGTTGTGAATGCAAAAGCATGAATGTCGTTCTTCTGCTCACTTAGTCGTCTGCAGCATAGTGGCAGGTAGCGGCCAACAGCCAAGCATGTGTTCCGCGCCGCGCTGAGCTCGGACGTGCAGCCTCTCCGGAGTTTGCCCGCGCGGGCTGTGAGGCCACCGCTCCCCCTTACGACGGCCGGGCCGCTACGTGCACTGCGCCGCCATGGAAAGGGCTTGTCTGGTGGAGTGTTTTTGGAACTATGCCACGCGAGAGCCAATGGGAGCCTCGTTCCTTGATGACGAGCGCCAGCCAATGGGAGCCTATGCATCAGATTGCGGTTTCTCTTCGCTCCATTGGGACAGGGGAGTATAGGTGCCGTTTGGCGCGGCTTCAAAGCTGATGACGTCGATTCGCTCCATGGGACAGTTAATGCTTTCGTATTAAAAACTTGAGACTGGGCTTTTCCTTCTACTCCGGGAGCAGGCTCGGACGACAACAATCTCAACTCTATCTTCTACGAGCACCTGACACGCTCGCTGCAGCAGAGCTTGTACGGGGACCTTGCACTGGGACGCTGGGGCAGCGTGACCCAGGGCGACTGCTTCGTGCTCGCGTCGGACAACCTCAACTGCCTGCTGCACATTGTGGAGCTCGCCAACGGTCTAGTCACCTTCCAGCTGCGCGGACTAGAGTTCAGGGGTGAGTTCTCCCCTTTAGATCTCTCCTTGTTGGTGAATAGTAGGTAGTGGATGGCAGAGGTACTTATATAAGTTATGAATAAGGTAACAGTTAGTTCTGAAACTTTGGCATCCGGTTCGGACCTCTAACGCTACGGTACATTTGGATGGAGAATGAGCGTTTGGCAATACTTAGTTTATTTTTGCGGTGAAAAAAAACAAAAACCCATAGATTTTTCAGAAAGACACCTTGTAGATTATTAAAACAATTTAATCTTATTAACAATTAGTGTATGGAATAAACATTATATTTTCCTAATACATGAAGTGGGTATCAGTTTTTGTGGCTATAGGTTGGGGTGTCGGGTTAAAAATGTGTGAAGGGGCGTCCGGTTCAAAATGTATAAAAAAATGACATGTTCAAAATGTGTGGAGGGGTATCAAATTCAACATACCTTAATATCCCAAAAGATTCCCTACCCCTATTTTTAGTTGTGACTGCCTAGAGCTCAGCTGGTTTGTTCGACATGCTCTGAATGTTTCCAGCCGAACAAAGAGGGAAAAACCAGCAGTGTGTGTCTCTTTTTCTCGCTTCCTTTGCTTTTTTCTCCACATTGAGCTGGAAACCTATAGAAGCCTATTTTTAGCTTGATTTGCTAGTTTCTTTTAAACACCATGAGATGGCCCACTCCTAGTAATCATAGTGTTCGGACCAATGATGACCTCGACGTAAAGGCGGCTAGGCAGCTGTGGCGGGATATAAGCGAACATTGCTGACTGAGAAGTACAGTCATCTTTTGCTTCATTGCCCTTCACTGTGATAACAAGTTTGGCAGGAAAACACGACCTAAAAATACTGTTTTTTCAACTTTTCTTGGCTGTACACCAAAAGTTAGCCCACTCCTTATTTTCACTTGATTTGCTCTCGATTTCAGGGGGGCTACCTATCGGGATGTTACAGTATGTTGGTTTGTCAGGTTCAAACTGTGCAGTAGTGTGTCGGGTACAATAAAAATAACAAAATAGAAAGAGGAAAAAAAAATTTTGCACGGGCGACATTTTGACAAGTTAGCTGGATGCAGAAAAGGAGAATCATCCAGTTCCCTAATGCCAGCATTCTTTTTATGGTCCCTTTAACATTTTCTTTGAAACTTTGAGGGGGACATCTTTGGGGTGATGCCGAGGCTGCTGAACCTTGCAGGCACCTACTGCCAGCAGCGCGAAGTGGAGGCCATCAGCGAAGGTGTGGAGGAGGACGAGGGCTGCTGCTGCTGCGAGCCAGGCCACTTCCCACACCTGCTGTCGGCCAATGCGGCCTTCGGCCAGCGTTGGCTCGCCTGGCAGGTGGCCGCCACCAAGTACATCCTGGAGGGATACTCCATCTCGGACAACTCCGCTGTGTCCATGCTCCAGGTGTTTGACCTGCGCAAGGCCCTGGTCACCTACTACGTCAAGGTATGCGGAGGGCTGTCAGGTTCAAAATGGTCATGAGGGGTGGCGAGGGGTGTCGGACACAAACTGTGCGGAGGGGTGCTGGGTTTAAAATGTGTGGTGGTGTGTCGGGTTCAAAATGTGTCAGTTTCATAATTTGTTGAGGGGTACCAGATTCAACATGTGTTGGGGTGTTGGGTTCAATATGTGCGGAGGGGTGTCAGGTTCAAGGTGTGTCAGTTTCGACGTGTGTGGAGGGGTGTCGGGTTTGAGATGTGTCCGGTTCAAAATGTGTGGAGTGGTATCGGATTCCAGATATGTCGAGGTGTCGGATTCAAAATGTACAGTGGTGTGTTGGGTTTAAGGTATGCATTGGGGTGCTGGGTTTAAAATGGAAAGGGGGCTGTCAGGTTCAAAATCTGCTGAGGGGTTTGAATTAATGGTTGGGCTCGGAGTATCTCTCGGTGTCGGGTTCAAGGTATATGTCAAGGTGTTGGCTTACCAGCTTGATTTATTGTTTTATAAGTGTTGGCTTACAAAATCAATTTATCATACTTTAGTTCGAGTTAGTATTTTGTACTCTTTTTTTGTAATCGAGCCTTTAAGGCAGTGGCGTAGCCGGGGGGAGCTTATAGGGACCCCTCCCCCCCCAAAAATCTAGCCCACCCTATAATATACTGTATATACGCGTGTAATGGCCGCGCTCGTGTAATAGCCGCACCCCTAACTTTAAACAAAGAAAGCCGCAAAAATATATTTAAAAATTACCCGTGTATAGGCCAGGGGCACCTACAACTTTAGAACCGTAGGTGCGGCCATTTCTTTTTTTTTTGTTTTTAAGTACTGCAGGCAGATGGCACCCACCCGGCTGCGGCAGCCAACAACATTGAGGCACTCTATCCTGTCTGTTTGCGCCTCTCGCTTCATCTCGAACAATCTCGAACCAGACGCAGTGCATCTCTTTGTGTTTGCGAGTACCCCAGTTTCCCGGTGTCACCCACTCCAGGCTACTGGATGGGGAAGTATGCGAGTTACACGGCCAGCTCTAAACTCAAAGTTGCCTTTGCTCAAGACAACAGTAAACAAAGCCAGGCCAATGTTCGGTGTCGACGACGCCGAGACGCCGGACGCCAAGACAAGTTCTGAAGATAAGTGATCTACGGACGAGTGGAAAGGGCTTTGCACGCCTGTCTATGCAATACCCATAAAGGTTTTCTTGTTCAACCAAGGCGTGTGAGTACTTCCATTTAATGAAGGCAAGTAGTGAAACTTTCGGCAAAAAAAATATATTTCCAAAAACCTTTTTCATTTTTCTCCGTGTAATGGCCACACCCCTTGTAATCGCCCGAAATCATAAAAAAATACCTGCGGCCATTACACGCGTATATACGGTACATAGGCATCTTGACACCCCCCAACCCCCTCCCCTCTCCTCCACACTCTAAGGTATGAACATCTTTGCTATATTGGCCCTTACTATTGAGAGGTTCTACTGTAACGGAAACTTTGTCTAAGTAGAACAGTTTTGCCTGGATGATTGAGGATGCCATGTTTGAAATGCAGTCCATCGTGTACTACACGGTGACGTCCAATTGCCTGGAAGACTGGCTAGGCCTTCCGGCTGTGCGGGACGCACTTAGCCCCACTCTGGAGCGCAACTACACGGACGTGGACCCTGTCTTCAACATGAACATTGACGAGGACTATGATTTCCGCGCGTCAGGAATCTCGCGGAGTTCCTTCTGCAACGTCTACCTCGAGTGGCTGCAGTTCTGCGTGAACCGGTCAGGAAAGGTCAGTCACTTCTTGTTTCATGTCTTCTTAGCCGCTCTGGAACAACCTGGACTAATCGAAGCTTGTCCACTGCCTCCCTTTTTCTGATGGCATCACACTAGTGCAACACCGAGTTGGAAATTGGGCCCCAAGCGTCTGCCGAGGCATTGAATGCAAGTTTCAGCCGAATGCAGCGCTTGTGTTCAATTTGTGCCCACGCCTGATTTTGACAGCAACAAAATTCGAGTGCACAGTCCTTTTAATTCTTGGTGGTGTTGCCCGGAACCAAAGTTCAGTAATGTAATACTATGGAATATTTATCACCTGGAATCCAAGTAGATTGACTATCCAAACTCAAAAACAATAATTTGTGCAAACACATTTATTCTTTTCTGTTTAAGTTGCATTTTGTAGTCACATGGGCTGGTTATTAAGCACCTCTTGTAAGTCTCTTGCCAATTTCTGTTTTCTCTCGTGATACGGAGCATATATTTCAGACTCTGGAACACGACCGGAACTCGATGCTGGTTTCACTGTGCTTTGCGCTCAGCCTCCTGGCTCGACGGGCCCTGGGGACAGCCTCGCACAACTCCTTCTCGAGGTTGGTGCCGATTCCCTGCCGACCTCTCGCCGACTTCCGGCCTACCTCCTGTCAGTTTTGTTGGAACCGTGCAGGACAATGCTCTAGCTCCTTACCTGTTATGGGTTTGGTGGCTTTTTGTGTGCTTGTAAGATGTGTCCGTAGTTCTGAAAGTTATATGATGCCTTGACCCGGTCAGCAGGTTGCAGTACCTCTTTTAAGGAAGGCACCTGGTTTTTGTAGACTCCTGCTTCATATATGAGCATGTTTACTTGCATATCAATGTTTGGGTTCCCTGGTTGGCACTTACAGCAGCGTGGACCTTTTGCTGTACGGCCTGCACGCGCTCTTCAAGGGAGACTTCCGCATCACGTGTGTCAGAGACGAGTGGGTCTTCCAAGACATGGAGCTGCTGCGTCGCGTTGTGGCACCCAGCGTCCGGATGGCACTCAAGTTGCACCAGGTTAGCATTAGCAGTGCAGTTATTCTTTGATTTTCAGGGTCAGTTCAAGAGTTCTGCGAACGTGTTTTGTATTTTGCATTGTATTTTTGTTATCTGTATATTTATGTGGTATCGTAAAGATGCCAGTCATGATGCTTGTGCTTGTAACGTTCAGCTAAATGTTTTTTTCTGCAGTGTATGTACCTATGGGCAAAGGACTAGTGCCTTGTCAGGCTTTGCGCTGGCCCTTCTTTTGGACCCTGTCCGAGAAAAAACAAATAGAAATAAAATGCAATAAGAAAATAAACTCAGTGGGAATCAGTCTAATGATATGTAACTACGTACAAAAAAAAAACGCCTCTTTTTGTGGAGCGTGTGGTCACAGGAAAACACCGGAAATGTTTAATTGTTTTTACAGCGGAGCTGTTAAGGGCTAGTTTTCCCAGTGTTGTGTCCGTGGACAAACAAATGTCGACATGAAACTCCAGACAGCTACCGTCATCTATGAGTGACGGCGGCAACCAGACAAGGCTGGAAAGGTTGCCACCCTCTGTGAGGGATGGCGGCAACCAGACAACCGGCAAGCCAGTTGTCTGGTTGCCACCTTTGCTTATAGATGGTGGCAACCTTTCCAGCCTTTCCACTCTGATTTTCACCAGGGTGGAAAGGCTGGATTTTTTTAGGTTCGTCCTAAAGTCGTCCTTGAGGTTGTTTTAGATGTTGTCCTTGAGGTCATTTGAGACGTCTTCCTTGAAATCGTCCGAGAGGTTGTTCTCGAGGTCATCCTAGAAGTCATCCTTGGGCTCGTCCTAGACATTGTCCTCGAGGTTGTCCTAGAAGTCATCCTTGGGGCTTGGGGTCGTCCTAGACATTGTCCTAGAAGTCACCTTTGAGGTCGTCCTAGACATCATCCTTGAGGTCATCCTAGACGTCGTAATCTAGGAGTCGTCCTTGAGGTCATCCAAGAAGTTGTCCTAGACGTCGTAAAGATAACAGTTTCGCTGGTCCTACATCTTTATGTGAAGTGGAAGGGCTCTAAATTTTTAAGTACTTTCTTTTGCTTTTTAGGCATCTTACTAGTACGTTGATATGCTGCCCAACTTTTTTTGTAAAACTTGTGCTAAAAAAAATGAAGAAAATTTTTTTGTTTGTTTTGTCTCGTTTTTTATGTTGAAATAACAACAAAGCTTTGGCTTTGCTTTCGTTTCACAGCACGAGTCAATGAAGGGGGAGTGTGCCCGGGACTTTATGTGGACAAACTTAGATGGGCATCTGACCGTAGTTACAAGGGAGTAAAGCCGAGAGCAAAACATGGCAGATCATAGGTACTGACATCGGTGGTCTTGAGAGAAAGAACAAGTGAGAGAGGGTGACAGAGGTGCTCATTAACCTTATCTACTTTCATACAATGCACAATACCATTGTTTTCCTGAATTGTAAGCTATAAAAGGGCTAGGTGCAGACCTTAGAGGTGATGTTTTGCTGCTTTTTTATGTATAATTCCCAGGAGAAAATCAGTCCACTTCCAGCTGGATTATGGAACTGGAAGGGAGGCAGTCCAGCTGGATTCTAGCTGGATTCCAGCTGGGTCCAGCTGGAATCCAGCTGGACTGCCTTATTTCCAGTTCCATAATCCAGCTGGAAGTGGAGTGATTTTCGCCTGGTATGTTAGGTCTCACCAATGAGGTGGGCTCATCAAAACCACTTGCTGGGACCTCTGACGTCTGCGTGTCTATGCCCTGCCGTTTCTAAAAGGCCGCAAGGTATGGAACCTTTCCCTCTAGAACATTATATTAACTCTAAGGTCTTTACAGGACCATTTCATGTCGACGGAGGAGTACGACGACCACACGGCGCTCTACGATGCCATCAGCAACTACGAGAAGAACCTGGTCATCTCGCACGAGGCGGACCCTGCCTGGCGCAACGCCGTCCTCTCCAGTGTTCCTTCCTTGCTGGCCCTCAGGTCAGAGACCTAACAATGAGCACCACATTGCATTTCACCACCTCGGCTACATCGCTTCGCCGCACAACAATTCTGTTGCTAGTTTGTTTAGAAAGCACAAAGTAAGGCCCATTTCAAACACTCACGTTTGTTTATCTCGTGACCGAGTTCTTGTGATCTCTTACCACGAGAGAGCACACTGGCATGTAACCCTGGAACTGCGTTTCACTAGGGTGAAGGTTTTAAGGGTATTTGTGAGATAAATTGTACATACTCTCTAGGAGAAATGGTTTATTAACATTGTCAAAAGATTTTTGAGCCAAGAAAGAAAGAAGATGCACAAAGAAATTAGGCAGTGTATGGAAATGCCCGGTGTTCCCCAGCTACACAACGGATACCGCCAGTGCATTCTTCCATTGCAAACTTTTCACAATGTCATAAACGGCCGTATCTTGCTGATAGTTTGCACATTTTATCTTGCAAGTACCGCAAAACCTTTGCTCTAGTGAAATGCGGTTCCAGGGCCACCTCATAGACGGTGCCGGCGTGCCAGTGTCTAATCTTGTTGGAAAGGATCGCGAGAACTCGGTCATAAGCAAACGCACCGTGCAAATGGGACGTCCGATTAGCAAAGCGGCTCCTTTCCGGGTTTTCACACGGACGTCGGCATCTCCCCCACGTTCGCAGGCATGTCTTCGACGACAGCTCGGACGACTACAAGATCATCATGCTGAACCGGCGGCACCTGAGCTTCCGGGTGATCAAGGTGAACCGAGAATGCGTGCGGGGCCTGTGGGCGGGGCAGCAGCAGGAGCTGGTGTACCTGCGCAACCGCAACCCCGAGCGGGGCAGCATCCAGAACGCCAAGCAGGCCCTGCGCAACATCATCAACTCGTCGTGCGACCAGCCCATCGGGTACCCCATCTACGTGTCCCCCCTGACCACCTCCTTCATGGAGACCTCCCAGCAGCTGTGCGGCCTCATCGGGGGGCCACTGAGCCTGTCCCGCTTCGGAGGTGCCCTCGTGGGCTTTTGGAACCGGTGAGAGCGACCCCTTCGGTTCCTTTGTGTCGTCCGGTCCGACTCGGCGTTAAATATTTGAAGTTTTTCTAAGCTTTACGATGAAACTGAAGAACCGCGGGCAAGCTGGTGAACTAACTACATAATGAAAAAATTAGACGTTCACAAATCTCTGTAATGCGAATTTAGAGTGCAGCTCTTGAGGAGGAGGAGGGGAGGGTATGTGCCTCCTCCTCTCCTCGTTCTTCATCCCCTCCTTTCCCCTTCTCCTCCAATTCAGTTTCCCCGCTAAATTTAGCAGGGAAAATGAGTCACATGACTTGGTGTCATGTCGCCTATGAACAAATTCAGTTTCTCCGCTAAATTTAGCGGGAAAATTGACGTTACGTCACCTCAACACCAATTCAATTTCCTGATAAATTTAGCGGGGAATTGAATTGGCGTTGAAATCACATGATGTCAATTTTTTCTCTAAATCTAGCGAAAAAATTTAATTTTTTTTCTAAATCTAGCAGAGAAACTGAATTTTCCTGCTAAATTTAGCAAGGAATCGAATTGGTGTTGAGGTCATGTGACATCAATTTTCCTGCTAAATCTAGTGGAGAACTGAATTTGTCTGCTAAATCTAGCAAAGAAACTGAATTTCCCTGCTAAATTTAGCAGGAAATTTAATTGGTGTTGAGGTCACGTGACATCAATTTTCCCGCCGACACTGCGAAACACTGAAATGGGCTCCTAGAGCTGCGCTCTAAAACCGAAGACCGGGAACAAGTAAAAAAACAGACGAGCACACACATTGTCTCAAAACGCAGCTACAAATCTTATTTCACGTCGTCACATTTATGTGATGATCCAACCTCCCCGGAGGTTACCAACTTGCTCGCAAAACGATAGCGAGGAACACGAGAAACAACATCCAACTGACCTCAAAACACAAGCATGACCAACGAAGAAATGGACCTTCACTACACTGACCTTTCACTGAACTAGAAGCTTATCTCGATTTTGATGGACCAAGCTCGGTAGGGAGGCAGAGACAGAAGGCATTTCTGCTTCCCCTTTGAATGCTTTAAAAAGCGTTTGCAGGTCATTCCCTAATCAGCAGGACAAATCTGGTAGCCAAAGAACCATTTGCATTGTTAGGGCCTGGTCACGCCTACGGTGCAGTGCTATATCAGCACTATAGACAAGGTGCTGACTTTCTGCTACATCAGTGCTGTTTCGATGCTGTGCTGCATGGGACCCGGTCTTCCCTGTTTACACACACAATGAAGCGACGAGTCGAAGCTGCCTCTAGCGCTGGTGCTGCACTTGCTTCATGCCATCTCAGCGTTGCACTTCGTGTATGAACCAGCCTTTGGTGTCAACCCTTGAAGAAAGAAAGGGTCAAAAAGCTTGGAGGAAAATTTCTGTTGGCCGGATATTTTGGGCTAACATCTTCTACAAGTATCCAGAGTGACTTGGAGTTTTCTATTGTTTCTTTGCAGGCTCAAGATACGTTGCGGCGAGGGCTGTTCCAGCGGTGGCACTGCCGTCCAAGAAGACACAATGTTTGACTACACCATGGCCGGCTCTCTGTCTGGGAGCATCTCAAGAGGTAGGGCAGCGTCTACCTTCCAATGGCAGGTGGTACTTACTTGGTTTTTGAGGCAAGCCTGATACATTTGACATAGTAATGTTCATACACTCCAGTCAGCTCCACACTTCTTCAGGCATTTGAAGGGTGTACAACAAACATATACCTTTAAGGAGTCTTTGGCAGGATAAATCAATAGCAACTCATGGTTGTATCAGCCTTTGGTTCCTAGATGACCTATATTACCACATGGTAAGCTTGGTTTAGCCGACCGCCTTATTCCACCAACTTTAAAGTGACTTGCCATGCTAGAAATTTTTGACTGTTTCGTAACCACGCCTATTCAGATCGATCACCGGTGATCTATGAATTCAATCATCAATTTCGATGCGTTAAAGTCGTTTCTCAGGCACCTAACGCCACCCAGTGGTTAGCCCAAGAAATGGACTTTCGGAATCAGTTTCGATTCCGTTGCTCTCACAGAGTTGTGCTTTTTGGTGAAAATTTTCTTGAACTGAAATGTGTGCATTGTAGCAAAAAGGGGCGTGGCCGTCACCCTCCACTGCGCGTCTGTCGCTCGTGACTATGCTGCACCAATATGAACTTTTTGTGATTAAATGACTCCCCTGTAAGACAAGGGACATAATTACGACATCGGATTTGCTATCTGACATTGTTGAGTGGGGATAATTAGCCAAAGAAGGTGCCAGCTGTTTGATAGTAAGCTTTGATTTCAAGCCCGAGAGGTTTTATTCTCCTACACCACATTTCTAAAGGTTCGCCCTATGTCCCTCATGCAGGACTGGCCATGGGTGAGTTTATAAAAGTTTGGGTTTCATTTCTTGGGTAAAATTCTTGGCAAGGGCCGCTGCAGGTGCTTATCATGTTTACTGTGCAGTGAACATCGTTACCATGCAGTCGTCGCCAGGCTTCACTGCGTCGCGAAAAAAGCATCCCACTCGGAATTATAGTGCACCCGCGCTTTATATTTGCGATGAGGGCTCAAACTACAAGTCCAAAGATGATAGCTCTTCATCAGATTCAAGCTCTGACAGCGACAATGTTTCGAGTCGGCCCGGAACGTCCTCAGCCATTCACCGTTGAGTTTTAGGACTTTGGGCGGTCTCCTTGCGGGTGGCAGGGCGTCTTCACTTGGTTAAGACGTCCTGCCACCCGCGGGTATGAAACTTCAGTACAGCCCAAGAAGGTTCCGCCCGGAGAAGATCTAGGCGCAGCGCTACGGAGCAGCGCAATGCAGTTTACAACTGCCCGAAAATTCTTTCTTCTCTTCGCCACAAAGGTAATAAAGACCATCTGTGACAACACAAGCAAATATGCGTGGATGCACGTTTCTGGTGCTCGTCCAGCAGCTGCTTGAGCTCAACGATGAAGACATTCTTCCATTTGACCTTGTACTAAAACAACTGCAGCACCATCCCCAGAAGATGCCGAAAAAATGAAACTGCAAAATGTGCAATGACAACCGCAAGGTTGAGCAAAAAGCAAATGTGTGCCAAAACTGGAAGGTGCACCTCTGCCTGACAAAAACCAGTAACTGCTTCATCGCATGGAACAAGCACCATGACAAGTTTTTCTTTTAGAGCGCAGCTCTTGGGCGCCCGTTTCCGCGTTTTGCGGCATCGCCATCGGCGTTGGCATAACTGCCCCACTAAATTTAGCGGGAAATTTAATTGGTGTCGTTGTCACGTCAATTTTCATGCTAAATCTGGCGGAGAAACTGAATTTGTTCAATGGGTGACGTGACACGAAGTTATGACATCATTTTCCCCGCTAAATTTAGTGGGGAAACTGAAGTGCTGTTGATGTTACGTGACATCGATTTCCCTGCTAAATTTAGCCGGGAAACTTAACCCGCTAAATTTAGTGGGGGAAATTTTCTAGCTACATTTAACGGGAAAATTTCCCTGCTAAATTTAGCGGGAAAATTTCCCCGTTATGTTTAGCTGGTTAATGAGAAGAAGGGGAGGGCACAAAGAGTCATACTTTCACCTCCTTCTCCTTAAGAGCTGTGCTCTAATTTCGCATTACAGAGATTTGTAAACGTTTCTTTTTTTTTTTTTTTTTGCATCTGAGAAACAGCTGTATGCAGTGTTTTCCCCCCAGAAAGTGTTTTTGGTTTATTTTTCTTTGAAATTTATACTATTTTGAATCCCTTTTTATGGGATTGTTTTTGTGCATACCAGGCTTTTCTATTTTTTTTTTTTTTCAACTAACCTTGAAAATGGCAATTTTTAAAATGTGTGTGTAAATTTAATGAAGCTTTTTGCTTTGCAACTTACATTTTTGGAAACAGCATTTAGTTGTCTGTAATTTGCTGTGCTGCAATATGTGCTAAACCATTATTTGTGGTGTGAAAAGATTATTTTTTTTCTGAGGCCTATAAAAAACAGTTATTTTCCCGTCGTAACGAAGGAGTTAAGGGCTTATATTCCAGCCCAAAGAAGGTCATCTGGAACACCCTAGAAAGGAACTGAGGATGAATGTACGCTACTAGGTGCCTTTTAAGGAGTTGGAGACATCTCTGCCGTCGCTCCTCATGCAGCTCGACGCAGTCACTCGAGTGGCTCTCACTCGGTGAGCCAATCGGCAACGGAAACTGGGAGCAGCAGCGGTAATGGAGGCTCAGGGGACCAGGGAAGCCGTAGCATGGGACGTGTCTCGGCCTCGAGCAGCATCGGCCGTGGAAGCACGGTCAGCAGTCTCGGCCGTAACAGCACCAGCTTCACCAGGACCTCGCTGAGCAACATTGCTGTGTCGTCGTCAGTGGTGTACAAGCCGACGCCGGTGGGAGGGGGCACCCTCCTTGGCATGACACCGCTGAGGCAGCAGCAGTGTCCCACGGAGTCTGCGGTTGTCGTGACGGCCAGTCCGTTTCTGGTAGAGGCCACTGGCGGTAGGAGGAATTCTTCTTCTGCGTCGGTGTATGCAAGTGGCGCCACGGCCGTCTGGGACTCAGCGGTGGTTTCTACCGAGAAGGTGAACATTTGAAGGTCGACATCTCTTGCGGCATGTCTCAGTGTCCTTGCAGATGTCTGCCTGTGAGGCTTTCCTTGGATGCCTGCCACACGGTCCTTGTGGAAGAGCCATGTGACTGGAAACTTCCATATTTCAACGAGGTTCCATGATGGCCCACAACAGAAACTGGATTGTTTGTTAGTAGGTGCTGGACATGTCTGGTGGCCTTGCAGATGCCTTCCTGCGAGGCTTTCCCTGGATGCCTGCCAGATGGTTCTTCTGAAAGTTCCATGTGACTGGAAAAACTCCAAGGCCACCAAGGTGCCTCCATTGTCCACGACCCATGGACCCTGGTCCATGGGTCGTAGTTAGAGGTTGCATAACTCGTGACCCAGGACAAACTGGCCCACGACCCATGCCCCATGGCCCACCACACAAACTGGATCATTCGTTAGTAAGTGCTGGTTACCTTGAGGCATCCCAGTAGACGTATGGGCAGTTTTGCACATCAGGTTTTGATTTCTTTTCCTAAATGGCACTTTGAGCATGCGGAATCTATTCAGTGTCCTGAAAGGTTTCTTGGAGACGTCCTTCATGGATGCCTCCCAGCAAGATCGGCCCTAAAGTCCTGGTTCTATTTGTGGAAATTCTTCAAGTATTCTTATTTGTCTGCCTAGAAGGTGCTTTTCAGTGCCCTAAGGAATATCAGTTTTCCATGTCTTAGTATATACGTGGAAAGGCCCTGTGGACTGTCCTTTCATAAGGTTTGCTTAAGAGCTCTCGAGTGCCCTCAAAACTATATTTAGATATCCTTCAAGAAGTGCTTAGGTCTCAAGGTAAATTATTCATCTTTGAACATTCTTTAGAAGTCTTGAAAGCTTGCCATGTCTGTCTAGTCTGTCCTCTTTATTCTGCCTGAGGTATCTCTTTCTGATGTCCTAGAAATATCCAGTGCAATTCTACTGCTAGTGTTTATCAAGCTTGGAGGTTATTTCCCTTTGTACAAAGATCAGGTTTGGAGAGTTGGAGGGAACAGAGATGCAGGCAGACCTTCTGAAACTGCCACTTGTAGTGTACCTGTACAGGAAATTCTCCTTGAAGGGACTTGCAGGGTGTATAGCATATAGTATGCAAGATGAGTAGTTTTCAGATTGTGAAGCTTCGGAACTATCCAGCAAAACGGTCAACTAGGTTAGTTAGTGCATGCTTAACCAGGTACCCTTTTGTGTTCCCAGTTTCTTTGGCACCGTCTATTTGTAGTCATGGAACATCTGCATTGGAGGTTACATACCTTGTGATTGTGAAAGGCAAATGGTCAGAAACTGTTCTTGGCAAGGTCCAGGCCTGTTTGACACCAAAATCCATGGCATTCAGTCATGTAGTCGGTTGCCCTTCATTCCCAGTGGCAGCACAGGCAAGGTCATATCATTTGTTGTGATGACAAGTGACTGCATCAATACACACCAGTCTTAGCATGTCTTTTCTGAGGATCAATAGGATAAGTGTGACTAGGAAACACTAGTCAGTCCAGGTACCTATATATAAGCGGAAGTTCTGAAACAAGCGAGTGCTAGATTTACAAAGCAGAAACACTAGATGAACATGACACGCAGAGCAAGGGGTCCATAACATTTTTCTCATTAAGTTAGGGTCTCTTCACCTGTCCTGTACATAGTGTAAAAAGTTGATTTCGGATTGTCTTTTCATCTCCAGAGTGTGATGTATGGATATTTTTGCTTGTAAATATATGGAGTTTTTTGGCCCAATGTGCTTAAAAATGAGTGTTAACAAGAGCATCTGAGGTCTTTATTTTGTGTGATTGTGGTGTATCCATGATACACCACAATCAGCCTAGTCTAAGGAGAACGAACCGGTATTATTGAATGTTTTTTTTTTTTTTTTTTTTCAGTTTATTCTTGGAGCATAATTGTATTGTGATGATGCTCTTCAAGTTGAAATCTGGAAAGGGCTTCGTTTGTTTGTACTACCATCTAAGCAGATTGCTCTTGTTTTTAATGGCACACGTTTGTATTTGTGTAAACCTTCCACCGGTATTTTAGCGGAGAAGTTGAAATATATTTCTGTCATTCTGCATTCATTGGTGCTTTGTTTAAGAGCCCAGGTGGCAATATTATGTGTCCTTTCTCTTTTTGTAATATAAAAATTCATCCACCGAGTTTGGTTTGTCATTTCCCTTTTGCGACACACACAAATTACTTATGTCATTCTGATCGGTAAAAACGCTAGCATTCAAAATAATAGTGTTTATTCACTTTCAACCACTTAACATAGCCAGCCAGAACACCCGCTCCCGCGAGGAAAAACGAAGAACTACATCGCTAGTGTGGACGCGTTGCAAACAAAACGAGCCAGCGGAGGGCCACTTGGAAGACAAGGCCTGCGCATGACGTCATCGTTGGTGGATCCCCGACCCGCGCCCAGCGGCAAACACGCTGAAGCTCGACGAGAGACTCCGCGACGCCAAGACGCGCCGTCTTGGCGTCGCTGCGTGCTAACGTCGCGTTCGTGAGACGCTGCAAGATGGGCTGTCGACGATACTGAGGCAAGCTAGGCCGTACTGCGAGGATTGTGACGTTAAGGGAGAAAGGTGCAGGCCTTGTTTTCTAGTGGTTTACGTTTTGCCAACTTAGCGGACGGTGGTCATGTGACCCTGTAAGGACGTATTCTATGTACGAGAAGTTTGTCAGGAAAGGCCAAAACAGGCTACAAATCTTTTTTTTTTTTAATTGATTTACGTAGTGCATTGGCGCGCTTGGAATATTTGAGGGCGCTGTTGCTCAGAACAAGCTCACATTGAAGAGGACATGAAACGAATTTTCGGATGAGATAAATGAGTTTAGATTGGGATTTTACTAGTAGCATATTGTTTAGTGGGCCAAAAGAAAGAAGATAGGAAATCAAAAACCAGATTTTCGGTACGAAAATTTGAAAACGTAGCTGGCTATTTCGTTCCTCCTTCCCTTCGAAAGCTCTCTGCCTTTTCAATGTGTCCATCCGCAATTCCCAAAGCACGACACCCGACCTCACTATGTTCCCTTCACCCCTAAGGTGACAGTGTGGTGGGAGCTACTCGCTTGCCGGACCAATCAGCCGCCTCCCTTTCATCAGAGTGAGGGAGCGTGATGACGTGGCAAAAGTGTGGTTGGTCCAAGAAGCAGGTAGCTTCCACAGCACTGTCAACTTTGGCGTGAACGAGGAAAGGGGGGGGGGGGGGGGGGGGGGGGGGGAGGGGAAGCAGCTTTTGTTTGAATTTCGAGCGACGGGCTAATCTTCTAGGGGGAGAATGGCAGTGTGAAGAGTACACAGACGAGGGTCGGTGCAAGAGGGGAGTTCCTCCTTTCCCTCTTCTTGAACTGTTTGGTACGCTGCGCGATTTGTGAGATGAGGTGGAAAACTAAGAAAGAAAAAGTTGAAAAATCGTTCATTATCCGCAGCTTCATAACCCCTCGTAAGATTATGACTTCAATCGTAACATTCTAGTTGCAACCTGAGACAGCAATTACCGCGAGAAAACTTGGACACACCTTACGAGCGGACCCCATGTTCATCGGCGGCGCAGCGTTCGGTGTGTGCTCCATTCACTAAATGTCCGAGCAGTCGAGAGGGCGGTGTTTGGGAAAAGTCTTTTCGGTTTACGTACGCAACTAGTGCAGCCCGAGATCGGGGTCATGTGGAAAGTGATGAAGCTTAATTGCAGCCGCACTTGCCGGATTCCGTGCAAGCTACATAGGTCCTCGGACGGTATTCGACGCTTTCTGTCGTTATGCTTGCACGCTATGACAGAGCAATGGTGTCCCGATGATCGGGGGACAGCCTCCATCGAAGCCCGTGGCTCTAATTAAGTTTGAGAGTTTAAAGCGGAGAAGAGAGTGCGAACGAAGGTCGGGTTAACGCGTGCACCCAAAACCGGCGAAGCCTCTCATCCGGGACTTTCACTCTTTCTAACGCACCAGCGAGGGGGAACGCGCCGGTAGCCCTTTCCCCTCTTCTCTCGCTCTCAAAATGGCGCTACCCACGATAAAACGGCAATTTGGAGCATCCGGCCTCCCGCACGCCATTCATGCCTTCCGCTGTGCTTTGGCTGCGCACGCGCGCTCGAGACGCTGAAGCGCTGTCGCGCTGGAGGCAGGGCAATAGCTCCTTCCCCTCGCCTTGACGTCACGGCGTGGTGGTAGCGTGTCGGGCGCACTTCCGGTCTGGGACTGGGCAGAAGTCACCATGCGGGACGTGCATTCCTGTGCTCTTTGGAAGAAACCTGCCTCGTCAAAACGCCGCGACTGGTACTGTGCCAAAAGAGTCGGGGAAAGGTTGGAAGGTCAGCTTTCATGTGTTTTCTGCCTGCTCGGTTCGTCCAAGAACGTAGATAGGGGCCGTGAGAAAGGAAAGCCAGACGCCGCCGGACCACGATTGCTTGTGCGGAGCACGTTGTGTTGAATTTAAGGATACTTGTGGTCGTCAGATTTATTTGTTTTGTTCCAATATGAACGCGGGAAAACCGCCAAGTTGTACGGACCACCTGCGGACTATGTTCAGTGCGTCTTCAACTTCAAACGGCTGCCTGATCGTTCGAACTGTCGTCTGCTCTCAAACGTTTCTGCTTGTTGTCTAAGACTTTTTAAGTTTGAAGGCTGGTTTGGGGTAAATAGGCTTGGTGTAAATAGTACATACAAACATATGTTGAGAATTGTTACCACTGGCCATCACTAACTTGTTATGTCTTATTCACATTTTTTTTTTTTTTTTTACACGATTGAACCGTTTACGAGAGCACCCAGATGCTTGCGAACCTGTGACGTCAGTAGAGTCGATTGCTGGGCTAGTTGGTTTTGGAATTTGGAATACATTTTAGCGCTCAAGAAACAGGGACAAAGAGGCGAGAAACACTGTGCTGTCTGTTTCTCGCCTCTTTGTCCCTGTTTTTTGAGCGCTAAAATGTATTCCAAATTCCTGTGACGTCGTCGGACAACCCGACGCAGACGAGTTTCTCGCTGCGACGCTTCTCCACATCACAGGCTTGTGTAGGGAGAAGTATCCTTCCAGGACGGGCGCGCACATCCTCCTGAAATAGCAGTACGCAAACATGCGTTATTATTTTCTTTTTTAAACAACAATGTACAAATTCGAAACACTGTTCACACAAATGGTTTTATACAATATCTTGGGATGCGGAACAAAGTTTGATAGCCGTGGACCAATCTAAAGGGGGGAGACTGGCCAGCTGGTGGTGCCACAGCCCCTCAAATATGTTAGGACGGCCACAATGGGAAAGCATATGACGTAACAGCCACGCATTGATCCGTCATATTTGATATCGTTAAAAACATATCAGTAATTGCAGTGCGCGTACTATCGCCCATTTTTATCGATTTTGTGCTCCTGTTGAGACAGGAACACAAAATGCGGTCGCGCGGTGGGCCACGGTGCCGATGACCATAGTAACGCCACTGGACCTGAGAGATCAGTTTGAGTATTGAGTTGGCGAAATTAACTTTTGGCGCAACGTTGGCGAAAATTTCTCGCATTTTGACTAGACGTAGCGGGATGTAGCATGGTAGGCCCTTTGGTGCAAATGGCGCTACAGTCACTGATTTTTTTTTTTTTTTCGGCTTTCGGGATTATATTTTTTTCGGCTTTCAGGATTAGTGAAGATAAATATATGGTTCGAATCAGAAACGTGTTGAGCTTCATCGAAAACCACTAAATCAGTAAATATGCGAAAGATTTGGGTCGGGTGGGAAGCGCGGTTTTGCGGGGTGGCCGAGTGGGCTAACACTTCTCAGCTCGATGATTGCAGCGAAAGTTTCTGCAGCGACCCCTGCCCCACCCCTGCCCAGTTCGATCTGGATGAGTTTCGTACTGGCATGCGTTCGCGTAGTAACTACTGCGTGATGCGCGTTAAAAACCCCAGGTTAGCGATTGTACTGCACTTGCTAAATTTCTCATCTACAGCTAAGAGACCGCGGTCACCCGTTGAGGCGTACCAACATCAAGGTCGCATAAACATACAAGCAACTTATTTTTTTTTTCGTTTTGTTTATGCTGTTTAGAGTGCCGTCCGACGGCACTCTTGTATGCTTTCTTATGTAGCAGCATGCTTTCTTTTGTATCTTTACGCCTGCGCTATGCAGGTTTGCGATCTTCTCCAGTTTGCCGAAGTGGCACTCTCTTCAATGTCGCGATTACGATTAGAAATAAATTCGAGTGTAAATCTCACGTTCTTGAGTGGCGTCTACAGCCTCTGCAAAATACAAACAAAAAAAAGAACCTAAGGCACGTGTATTGAACCTAAAAATCATGAGCCATTCCACTCTGCGTAGGTGGACGACCAGCGAAGCTGCTTAGCACACGACACAGACGTGACACAGAATTTTGAACCAAGGTACGAACACATTTATTGTCTTGATCGGTGATCATCGTGACGAAAGGATGCACACACACATTGATTTGATGCGTTCTCCGCCTCGCGACGTTCGTCGTCTTCTCTGGTTTGCCGCATGGCGTTTGGCGTTTTGTGGTGTTCGCCGCCCGCCGCCGCCGCTGACCTTCACGTTGCCGTTCCCGCCGTTGCTCTTCGTAGGCGCGTTGCTCTTTGGGAGTCCGGACTATACGCGTCCTCCCCATTATGGTGAGGTGAAATAGACCTATTGCTAAATTACCCAAGCATCAAGAAGAAGGCATGCGGAATGGTGTTTCACGCGCCGCAGGTGCTGGCGTCTGGAGCAGGAACTGTTCACAAGCAAAAGCCTAAAACAAATGGCATCTTGCGCGCGCGTTCGTCAACGCTTTATTTTGGTTATTTACTTCGATTCATTTATACGGGGAAGGCGTGCTCGTGCGGCGGTGCGAGCGTAGAGGTTTTGGTCACGCACTCGAAAAACTCACGGAACCCTAGCCATAAACAGCTTCGCTGTAATATTTGTGAGACCATAGAGTACTAGCCAGCCATCATTCTTTGGTTTTCAGATATTATTTGTTATGATGAAAGTTTCATGGAATCTGAGTATACACATAATTGGCAAATTTAACACAAAAGAGTACACCGAAAATAGGCATACGAATTTCGGCCGCAAAGTGCGAAAAGCAAGACATTCTTCACTAAAGGACGGCATTCGAATGCGGGCGTAATGTGCCGTCGGACGGCACACTAAACATTGCA